CATTGTTTAATATTAATTTGATCATTGCAGTCTTCAGTTTCTTAATTTTCCTTAACATGGCATTATTTTAATTAGTTCACTTTAAAAACTTCCAGACTTAGAAAATGTTTAAGAATAGCTTTGAATCTGATACAAGCATGGCTTGATAGACTAGTTAGATTTACAAGTCATTCCTTTAAATAACTCCCAAGGTTAGAAAAATTGTGTGTGTGTGTAGCAAATGTCATTTTAAATATTATGTAATCATTTGGTAAGAGCATGTATGGTTCACTTTGGACTATTCAACCCAGCAGGAGATGTACCTATGTTTTAGGGGACTAAGTTTCTTTGCCTAATTAAATAGAACATCTTGAATGGCTCTTGAATACATCCTTCTCTCATATTTCACAACACTTAGGAAGAAAGAGAGGGTCTTTGCTAGTATTCAAGACATCTTTTAATAACTTCAAAAATTTGCAGTCTGGAACATCTTTTAATTCCCCTCTCTTAAACTTCATTAATGTTATCTAAAGATCTTTTATGTTTTACTTTCCTAGAAATTTTCATTATACAACCCATGAAATTTCTCTCTACATTTTCTATTTTATCATCTTGATGATTTTTCAGCATCCACACTAATAGCCCTTATAACATAAATGTTATAGTGTTTCTGTTATTATTTTATTGATTTTAGAGAGAGAGAAGAAAGGAGGGAGGGGGGGAGAGAGAGAGAGAGAGAAATCACTGATTTGTTGTGTTGTTCCCCTTATGCGTTCATTGGTTGACCCTAGTATGTGCCCTGACCCACACCCTTGGTGTATCAGGACGATGCTCTATCCAGCTGAGAGCTACCCAGCCAGGGCCTAGTGTTTCTTAACTTACCCAATTCCAGTGTTTTTCTTTCTTCCTTTTTTTTTAAATCTCCATTTATCCTGAGTTAACGATGGGGTGGCCACATACTCGAATCCATCATAAACTGGAACCACATCAGCTTTGAATTTTGAACTTTGATATTCCTCTTTCAGATCATGTTATCACTTTAGGCCACTAATCTCCCATTTAGTAAATATTTATCAAATGCCTATACATACTGTAAAAAAGTTGATTCTACTTTTTTTAAGCTACCATAAATACCGTCTTCCTTTATCTTCACCTAGAGTTCTTTGATACTCCTGCCTACATATTATTGTGTTACTGCCCTGAATCTAACCTCATTTGCTTTCCTACCTTTACAGGTGCACTTTGACTGTACCTTCAATTCTGACTTCTCTTTCATAGGCTCTTTTGCTATTTCCTCTGACTTTATTCATTATTATATTTTATAATCAATATTTATTAATATTTACATATTTGTGGATAACATATTCTCTTGTTCCATATTCCATCTTCTTTTGTTTAAGGCTTCCCTTTAATTAGTTTATTTAGTGCGGATCTGCTGGTGATAAATTCTCTGGGGTTTTTTTGTTGTTGTTGATATCTGATGCCTTTATTTAATTTTCATTTTGGAAGGGTATTTTTTTTAGAATACTTTATTGATTATGCTATTACAATTGTCCCATTTTTTTCTCCCTTTTCTCCCCCTCTTCCCTGTACTCCCCTTCCCTCCAGTATTCCCTCCCCCTTAGTTCATGTCCGTGGGTTGAACATATAAGTTATTTGGCTTCTCCATTTCCTATACTATTCTTAACATCCCCCTGTCTATTTTGTACCTATCAGTTATGCTTCTTATTCCCTCTACCTTTTCCCGCATTTTCCTCCAACTTCCCACTGATAACCCTCCATGTGATCTTCGTTTCTATGATTCTGTTCCTGTTCTAGTTTGCTTAGTTTGTTTTTAGTTTTCTAGATAGTTGTGAGTTTGTTGTCATTTTACTGTTCATAGTTTTGATCTTCTTTTTCTTAGATAAGTCCCTTTAATATTTCATGTAATAAAGGCTTGGTGATTATGAGCTCCTTTAAGTTTATGTTATCTGGGAAGCACTTTATCTGCCTTTCCATTTTAAAGGATAACTTTGTTGGAAAGAGTAATCTTGCATGTAGGTCCTTGCCTTTCATGGCTTTGAATACTTTTTGCTAATTATATAATTACAGGTCAACAGTTATTTTCTCATGACACTTTAAAAATGTAAGGCTAGAGTCTATACCTGGTCTACCTCTGTTCTTAGGGTATTTTGAGAGCCTACAATGTTCATAGGGGCTTCTCCACTGGCAGGTCCTGAACTATAATAATCCTTATCCCCTTGGCATTGAGAAACTTCCAAAACCTCCACTTATAGGGAAGTGTAAGAATTTTGGCCACTATTAAATGTGAGATGGAAAGTCACTGGAGAGTTTGAGCAGGAGGGTGATCAGCATAGTGGTTTCTCTGTCTGCTGTGGTAAGACTGTAAGAAAGCAAAGAGGAACCTGGCAAGACCAGTTAGGAGGCTACTGCAAAAAAGCAGGTAAGAGATGGAGTTGACATGTAATTTCTTAATGGACTATCGAAATGACTTTCAAACAGCCTCAAACCTTGATCTACTCAAACTGTTATGCCCTACTGATGCCATAGTGGTTTTTTCTTTTCTTTTCTTTTAAGTCCTCATGTTTTAGAGAGGAAGGAAGGAAGGGAGGGAGGGAGCAAGGGAGGAAGGGGGGGGAAGAGAGAGAGAGATGGCGGAGACGGGGGAGAGAGTGAGGGGGAAAACAGGGTGAGAAACATTGTGGGAAACATTGTGGGCTGCCCCCCATATGTGCCCCAACTGGTGCTTGAACCCGCAGCCTAGGTATGTGTTTTGACCAGGAATTGAATCCACAACCCTTTGGTGTATGGGGCAACACTCCAACCAACTGAGCAACACTGCTAGGGTCATAATGATTTATTTCTAAAATTCATATCCAGTGATGTAACTCCTCAGAGATTCCATGTTACATATCTTTAGGTAGAAATTCAAATTTCTTACCGCAGAATAAAAGATCATATCCATGTGCTGACTCCTGCCTCCAATTATAGCATCCTCTCTCATTCAAACTCTTTCCTTTAGCCAGTGTTACCTACTTGAAGCCTCACATCTTTCCACAGATTATAAGACCCCAATAGGTCCCCATGCCTTAGCCTATGTTTTCCTTCTTCTTGAACCATCTTTCTCAACAACTCCCTTCTCTTGTCTGATTGACTCCAACTCATCTTTAAAGATTCAGCTTTAGGATTAAGGCTAAGAGAAGCTTATCTTCTCTTGGAAGGGTTTCTGAACTTTTTTCTTCCCCATTTCAAGACATAAATGAATTTTTTCTGTAGATTCAGTACAAGTTAATAAACATTTATGGCATCTATTCTCTGCCAAGAACAGTTTTAGGAGTTGGAGAATCACAGATGAATAAGCTGAAGTATTTGCCCTCAAAGACTTTTGTTCCAGAAGAGAAGACATAAATACATAACTGCATTATAGTGTGATAGATATAACAGTTGAAAAGTATGATCTTGGGAGGAGGGTGTGAATGAAGGATTCTTAGAGGAGAAGAAATACATTTTGATTTAAAAAAATAAATCCCTGGCTGGTGTGGCTCAGTGGATTGAGTGCCGGCCTGCAAACCTAGAGGCTGCCAGTTTGATTCCCAGTCAGGGCACATGCCTGGGTTGCTGGCCAGGTCGCCAATAGAGTGTGTGCGAGAAGCAACCACACATAGATGTTTCTCTCCTTCTTTTTCTCCCTCCCTTCCCCTCTCTCTAAAAATAAATAATTCTTTAAAAAAAAAAAGAATAAATGAGAGTATATCAAGCAGACAAGGCACATGGAGTAAGGCGAATATCCAAGATTGAAGGAACAACATGCAATGATATGGAATGGTAAAACAGTAAGGTATAGGAAATTAAGAAAAACTGATATTTGAGTGTAAAATTTAGAAAATGATTATTGGGAGGTGAACTTGAAGAGCTTGGACAGGCAATCACTGAAGATCTTATTTGTGACGCATGATTCCACTGGGGCACTTTTCATAGTGGGTTGTAACTGCTGGTTTTCATCTCCATGTCTCCACCAATGGCAGGATGTCTTACTCATTAGTATTTGCATACATAGCACCTACCCAAGTATCTAGAATGTAGTGGATACTCATAAATGCTTATGTTATTAATGTGGACCCTTTAAAACTTTTAAAAGATTATTTTACATAAGACTATTATTTAGTATTCAATACTTGTCTGTCTGCCTGCCTGTCTGTCTCTCTGTCTCTCTGTCTGGTGCCTGGGTTGAGTCCAAAGCCTAGGTATAAAAATAAAATTGAAATAAAATACAACTAGAGATTCTTAGTAAAACTACAGGACATGACATATCCAATGTGTAACTTTAAAAAAATAAAATGTTATTAAAGTGCTTCTCAGACTTAAATAGCTATTATCGAGAGACAAGATAAATGAGTAGAATGAACTAGACATTTATACAGCTGGATGTTCTGTGTATATCTTTCCATTCACTCTTATTTCCTTCTTGTATCTCTTCCACAGCAATGGACACCAGATGGAGACATTTTTACAGCAGAAAGACTTAAGAACCCTGCGCCTCAGTTGAGCAGGGCAGGCAGTCTTCTGGTCTCTAGACTAGAAGACTAATAGCCAGCTTTTCAGCCCCAGTGAATTCTTGCCTCTTGCTTTCAAAAGAGCATTTTGAATCACTTGGGAAAGTAGCATATAGAGGTAGAACTATCATGAACATAAGGAAAAAAGGAAGCATATAACTTGAAATCAATAATAGTAATCCATAGCAGTAATCTGAAAAAAAGTTGTTATGTCTAAATCACCTATTTTTGTGCAAGATCCACTGGCAAATTGACTAATTACAGATGAAGAAATAGGAAAAGAAAATGAAAAGCATAGTCTTTCGAATAAGCACACTGCTTTGTCATAAGTAGCTTTACACATCTTTTAAAAATATCACTTGAGCTTACTTGCTTTTTCTTACCCTTTAAAAAGTGCCTTTGCCAAGGAATCTGCTAACCGTTATCATTTCTACCAACATCCTCTCCTTTCTCTCCCTTCTCCCTTAGTATCTTTTTGCCACATATGTTGCTCCTTCGGCCACTCTTGACATTGGACTCCAACAGGAAAAGAAAAGAGAAATTTATATGAAGATACAGCCACCATTTGAAGACCTTTTTGACACAGCAGAAGAATATATTCTTCTCCTCCTACTTGAGCCCTGGACAATGATGGTAAAATCAGACCAAGTTGCTTATAGACAGGTATTGTGGCACAGAGAAATTGTGTGTGAACCATTGCGTTTGCTGTAAAACTGATGATGAGCAACATTCACTCACAAGAAAAAAAACAAACCTGAAAAAGGTCTCATAGGGGCCAGGAGTTCAGTTTTTCTTTTGCTTCCTACCAAAAGACTTCAGTTGGTGTCATTTTCAGTTCTCTGTACAAATATGTAGCAGAGATAAATCTGAGTTTTGGTTTCCTGTGAACCAACAAAATATGCCATGATTATACACTGGCTTTGTCCCTTCTTGCCATTTGTCAGCAGCGGCCTTAATTTTGATTAATGGACAAAGCCCGTTTAATTTTAGGCTGGATGAGTTACAGTAAATATTATACCCATGGAAAATATAAACGTTTCATATATATTGTGCAAAGTACATTCTCTGACTTCAGTGCTGCTATGTGAAAGCACCCCCAGATGTTCATCAGGTCAGACTGCTCGACTGGATAAAAGTTTCAACACGTCTTTTTTCATTCCAAAAGAGGTCATGTTAAGCTTCAGTGCTTGAATATTTTCACTCTTCTTATTGATGGGTGGAGGAAATTTCTTTAAATATTTATTTTGAATCACAAATTAAAACCATTCATGGGTATTTTTTATATTAAGTTAATGCATGTACTCTGTTCATGAGGTCACTTCAGGTGGGACTGTGCTGTCTTTGTATTGCTCTTCTTTGTTCATGTCTCCTCAAAAACTTCTTCGTCGCGTCTTCTGCCAGAAAGGGTAGGTTAGGTCGTTAAGATAAAATTAATACTGAAACGTGTAAGATAGAGTTACCTTCTCGGATTGTGATTAAAACAACCCTTATGCCTTACTAACTTCAGTGGCCAGAATAATTCATTTTTCTTTCTGATTTCTCTTTCTGAAAAACTAGCATTGCAACGTTTCTACCACAAAAATATATAATTACACAAGGAAAACTAGGCTATCAAAAGAAAATTTTAAAAATGAATTGTTTTTTAAACATATTTTATTAATTATGCTATGACAGCTGTCCCAGTGTTTCCCCCATGGCCGCCCTCTGCCCGGTACCCAGCACTCCCTCCTGCAGTCCATCTCCCTGCCTGCGTCCGTGCCCAAGGCTCATGCATGTGAGTCCTTCGGCTCCTCCATTTCCTACTGTTCTTAACAGCCCCCTGTCTATACTGTACCTACCAATTTAGGCTTCTTAATCCCTGCCCCTTTTTCCCCATTCTCCCCCTTCCTCCTCCCAGCTAATCACCCTACTAATGATCTCCATAACTATGATTCTGTTCTTGTTCTGCTTGTTTGCTTAGTTTGTTTTTTAGATTCAGTTGTTGAGAGTTGTGAATTTGATGCCATTTTAATGTTCATAGTTTTGATCTTTTTCTTCTTCTTCTTCATAAGCCCCTTTAACATTTCATATAGTAATGGCATGATGATGATGAACTCCTTTAGCTTTGTCTTGTCTGGGAAGCACTTTATCTGCCCTTCCATTCTAAATGAGAGCTTTGCTAGATAGAGTACTCTAGGTTGTAGGTCCTTGCTTTTCATCACTTTGAACACTTCTTGCCAGTCCCTCCTAGCCTACAGTTTCTTTGGAGAAATCAGCTGACATTCATATGGGAATTCCTTTGTAGGTAACTCTGCTTTTCTCTTGCTGCTTTTAAGATTCTGTCTTCTATCTTTAACCTTTGGCATTTAATTACGACGTGTCTTGGTGTGACCCTCTTTGGGTCCAACTTGTTTGGGACTCTCTGTGCTTCCTGGACTTGTATGTCTATTTCTTTCACCAAATTAGGGAAGTTTTCTTTCATTATTTTTTCAAATAAGTTTTCAATTTCTTGCTCTTCCTCTTGTCCTCCCGGCATCCCTATGATTTGGGTGTTGGTACGTTTGGAGGTGTACAAGAGGCTCCTTAGACTACCCTTGTTTTATTTTTTTAATTCTTTTTCCTTCTTGCTGTTCTGATTGAATGCCTTTTTCTTCCTTATGTTCCGAATCATTGATTTGATTTGGCTTCATGCACTCCACTGTTGGTTAACTGTAGATTTTTCTTTACTTCACTTAGTGTAACCTTCCTATCTGCCTGGGTCTTTTTTATGCTGTTGAAGTACCCAGTGAGTTCCTTGAGCATCCTAATAACCAGTGTTTTGAACTATGCGTCTGATAGATTGCTTATCTCCCTTTCGTTTAGTTCTTTTTCTGGAGTTGTGTTCTGTTCTTTTATTTGGGCCATATTTCTTTGTCTCCTCAATTTGGCAGCCTCCCTGTGTTTGTTTCTATGTATTAGGTAGAGCTGCTTTGACTTCCTGTCTCAGTAGCATGACCTGTTGTAGAAAAGCACACCAGTAAGTTGGATGGGACAGAGCCTTAAGTAATCGCTAGGGCAGGGCAACCCCTCTGAAACAGGTTGATGTAGCCTCCAATATGGTGTTGCCACTCTGTGGCTCTGTGCGAGGAGGGCTCAGAAAGGGACAGTGCTGCTGCCTGCCCTCTGAAGTTTTGTCTGGGAAGAAGTTGTTCCCTGGCTCTTGCCCTGATGCCAGACACTTCAGTTTCTCCCCGTGTGCTCCTGATGGCCATCCAGTTGCTGTCCCAGTGTCTAGGCTGGAGCCTAGAGGGAGTAAGTCTGCATAAGTCCTAAGTCTGCTGTGGGCACTTTAAGAAGAGACTCCAGAGAATCCCACAGTTATTTCCATCAACCCAACCTCCACTGGTTTTTATAGCCAGAGGTTATAGGGGCTTCTCTTCCTCTCCCTTGAACCCTGGGCTGGGTGGTGTGGTGTGGGGCTGGGACTCCTTGCTTCCGATGTATCTCTTGAGAATTTTTTATCCACCGCATGTGGGTGTGAGACTGCCCATACCACATCTCTATGTCTCTGTGCCTCTGCATGCTTCTCAGTGTCTCCTTCCCTCCTACCTGTCTGGATAAATGTGACTTCTTTAATTCCTTGTTGTCGGACTTCCATGGAGCTCAATTTTCAGACAGTTTTGGGTGATTTTTGTTTTGTAGTTTAGTTTAATTTTTGCTGTGGTTGTACAAGGAGGTCAGCCATGTTTTCATATGCCTCCATCTTGACCAGAAGTCTCTAGTTCTTATTTTAATATAATGTATGGTCTAGAGGAAAATAGATCTGGGATATGGTCCTGGGATGATAAAGATTTAGAATTATAAGTAAATTCCCTAAACCAAAAGCTTTTGGCCTTAGTAATGATTCATGTAAAAATGCATGAGACAAATTATACATTCTCTTTAACAAGAGGAAAAATAATCCTCTCTTAATTTCTAGAAACATCCTTAAATTCAGTCCAGAGACTTCTGTAAAAGTCCAGTAGACTAGATTACATAGACTCTTTTCCAAAAGGGATAACCAAGGAGACTACCTAAACTAGTCACAGTGATTTTTTTCCTGCAACAGAGAAACAGAGAATAATTTTGTTCTCCTGACTATACAAAGTAGTACAATATACACTTTGAAGGCTACAACCTACAATGAAGTTTAATTAGATGGTTAATTCTTTCTTGTCTTGTTACACCAATAAAACTATTGCTCACTGACTAATAATGGAATCTGGTCATTTTGTGTTCTTCTGTGGATTATGTGGTCCTTAAATCTGCTAGTGCCTGCCTCCATGACTATTATCCTGTTAAAATAAATAGAAACTGGAAATGTGACCCAGCATGTTTTCATTGTTTGTTAGTTCACAAGAGGTGTCCAGAAAGGAGGATAATTTTTGGTGGCACTGTATCAGCAATTTTCAACCTTTTTCATCTTATGACACACATAAACTAATTACTAAAATTTTGCAGCACACCAAAAAAATTTTTTCTTGCTAATCTGACAAAAATAGGTATAATTTTGATTGACTTACAAAAATTAATAATAATAATAGTAATTACCTTCACTTTTTCCTCCAAAGTTACTTTTTATTTTATTCATTTTTTTTATTTTATTGACTTTAGAGAGAGAGGAAAGCAGGGTGGGGAGAGAGAGAGAAACATCAATTTGTTGTTCTACTTATTTATGCATTCATTGGTTGATTCTTGTATGTGCCCTGACTGGGGATTGAACCTGTAACCTTGGCATATTGGGACAACACTCTAACCAATTGAACTACCCAGCCAGGTCCCCAAAGTGACTTTTTAAAAAACATCAGGTTCCTATACTTGTGTATAAGGATTTCTGGTCCCAAGAATTAATCAATCATACACAACCTTATTATACATAATGACCAAGAAGATGCAGCTCTATTATATGACCTATATATTTGTGATTTGAGACAGGGAATTCACACTGGACAGTTATTGTTGTGTTGGCTGTTGTCCTTTTTTTATTTGACAATTTAAGGGAAAAGAGGTCAGTGCCCCTGACTAAGTAATCATGTATTGCATGTTTTAAAAACTCTTGTGGCCCAACAGTTAAAATTGCTGCACTACGTCATCGCTTAGAAATGTATGTATTTTTTTATTGTATACGTTCAAGGTCTGACTTTGCTGTAGCTGATATTTTTTACTATGTTGGTCTTCCTGCTTTAGCCTCCATACTAATTTACTTTATTACCAAGTGTATTGGTTCTTAGCCCACTGTTACTGGCAAATTGTGCATTCTTTCCCTACTTTCTCATAATACACATTCTATTGATATCACAAGTGTTATTATTATTTATTAGGTGGAGTTGGTAGAGGAAACTCGACAGCTAGACTCTACATACTTCAGAAAGCTACAGGCTTTGCATAAAGAGACGTTTTCCAAGAAAGCTGAGGTAAGACACCTCTCTACTTAGAAAGACGAATTTTTATCCTAGAGAAGATTAGCACTGCATATATTGGTGGTGGGGTGGGAGTGGGGGTTGGATAGCATATATTGAAGATATCATGTACTGATAATGAAGGGGATGGGCAGTCTCATTTTTCTACTGCTTCTTTGTTTAGTGTGCTACATTTGATAGGTGTCACATTTTATTGACACATTTAATGACAAAGCCAATCTACTTGTTTGCCTTAGCTAAGAGCCTTCCAGCCACCCATATATTTCTTTGAATGTTATTGGTTATTTTCAGTATGTCAGCAACTCTATTTGATGTCAATTCACAAAAGAGTTAAATTGAGTTTTCCAAACAGGAAAGGAATTGCTGCAAGATATCAATAGGCAAAACAATTTTTAAAAATAAGGGAAGCGTTTGAGGAAGTCAGTAAAAAGACCATAGGATTGATTAGGGTATGAAAAATGTTATTTTTATATGTAAATGCAAAACTTTTGGATTGGCTAAGTAAACCATGATAGACCAATAAAACAATAATATTAAATGTATATCTACAAAAAAAAGACAGTTTGGATTTATATTTATTGATATGGAAAATGCTCAAGACATATTACAAAAAATGTAAGGAACAAAAATATGGGTATTGTATGATGTTTTTTAAAAATTATTTTATTTATTTTTAGAGAGGGAAAGGGAGGGAGAGAAACATCAATGTGTGGGTTGCATCTCATGCGCCCCCTTCTGGGGACCTGGCCCACAATCCAGGCATGTGCCCTGCCTGGGGATCAAACCAGCGACCCTTTGGTTTGCAGGCTGGCACACAATCCACTGAGCCACACCAGCCAGGGCTGTATGATCTTATTTATACAAAATTGAATATGTATTTCCATATGTATACATATCTGAAAAGAGGTATCTGGAAAAATGTTCACCAAAATGAACATTTAATAAAATGATAGTTAGCTCTGAATGCCAAGGTTTCAGGTGATTTTTACTGTCTTCTTTGTACCTATCTGAAATTTTTGTTATTTTATGATGAAGTTTTATAAAAACAGTACAGATATTTTTAAAATGTTACTTTCATGATAGTTGCCTCATTAACACAAAAGTTCTCCTTTTGAGACACTGATTAATATCTTGGAAAGGATACATTAGAATCTATAAGGTAGCAACATTATAAAATTGTATTTTAAATTTTATGAACTAAAATTTATAACAATCCCCATAATCCTTCTCCCTATGGAAAACTGATTTTGAAAATATTGGTAGTTTATCTCATGGTCTGATGCTTTTCAAACACAAATAGAAAGACAAGTTAATTATACAAGGAATTACAGAAGGGATTTGAACAGACAGAGAGTCAAAGCAACTCCGCCTGATACACAGAAACAAACACAGGGAGGCTGCCAAATTGAGGAGACAAAGAAATATGGCCCAAATAAAAGAACAGAACACAACTCCAGAAAAAGAACTAAACGAAAGGGAGATAAGCAATCTATCAGACGCATAGTTCAAAACACTGGTTATTAGGATGCTCAAGGAACTCACTGGGTACTTCAACAGCATAAAAAAGACCCAGGCAGATAGGAAGGTTACACTAAGTGAAGTAAAGAAAAATCTACAGTTAACCAACAGTGGAGTGCATGAAGCCAAATCAAATCAATGATTCGGAACATAAGGAAGAAAAAGGCATTCAATCAGAACAGCAAGAAGGAAAAAGAATTAAAAAAATAAAACAAGGGTAGTCTAAGGAGCCTCTTGTACACCTCCAAACGTACCAACACCCAAATCATAGGGATGCCGGGAGGACAAGAGGAAGAGCAAGAAATTGAAAACTTATTTGAAAAAATAATGAAAGAAAACTTCCCTAATTTGGCGAAAGAAATAGACATACAAGTCCAGGAAGCACAGAGAGTCCCAAACAAGTTGGACCCAAAGAGGGTCACACCAAGACACGTCGTAATTAAATGCCAAAGGTTAAAGATAGAGACAGAATCTTAAAAGCAGCAAGAGAAAAGCAGAGTTACCTACAAAGGAATTCCCATATGAATGTCAGCTGATTTCTCCAAAGAAACTGTAGGCTAGGAGGGACTGGCAAGAAGTGTTCAAAGTGATGAAAAGCAAGGACCTACAACCTAGAGTACTCTATCTAGCAAAGCTCTCATTTAGAATGGAAGGGCAGATAAAGTGCTTCCCAGACAAGACAAAGCTAAAGGAGTTCATCATCATCATGCCATTACTATATGAAATGTTAAAGGGGCTTATGAAGAAGAAGAAGAAAAAGATCAAAACTATGAACATTAAAATGGCATCAAATTCACAACTCTCAACAACTGAATCTAAAAAACAAACTAAGCAAACAAGCAGAACAAGAACAGAATCATAGTTATGGAGATCATTAGTAGGGTGATTAGCTGGGAGGAGGAAGGGGGAGAATGGGGAAAAAGGGGCAGGGATTAAGAAGCCTAAATTGGTAGGTACAGTATAGACAGGGGGCTGTTAAGAACAGTAGGAAATGGAGTAGCCGGAGGACGTACATGCATGAGCCATGGGCACGGACGCAGGCAGGGGATGGACTGCAGGAGGGAGTGCTGGGTACCGGGCAGAGGGCGGCCATGGGGGGAACACTGGGACAGCTGTCATAGCATAATTAATAAAACATACTTAAAATTAAAAAACAAAAATGTAATCCTTATTACAAAGCATCTTACATTACTCTATAACTTTTGAAATTGAGTTATAGATAAAAGAATGTTTTATGTTCATGATATATTGTTAAGAAAAAGAACCAAGTTCAAAAACCATACAAAGCTGGATAGTCCTGTCTTCTTCTTCTACTTAATCCTCACCCATGGGTATATATCCATTGATTTCAGAGAGAGAGGGAGAGAGGGCAGGAAAGAGAAAGAGAAGCAGAGAGAGAGAGAGAGAGAGAAACAGACAGACAGACAGACAGACAAACATTGACATGAGAGAGAAGCGTCGATTGGTGTTCCAATATGTGCCCTGACCTGGGCTCAAACCCATAACCTAGGTGTGTTCCCTGACTGGGAAGTTGAACCTGCAACCATTTTTGGTGTACAAGATGGTGCTCCAACTAACTGAGCCACCCTGCCAGGGCATTCCTGTCTTCATTTTTAATAATCTACAGACATGTTGACAAAAAAAGACTAGATGGATACATAAAATGCTAATGGCGGTTATCTGTGAATGGTAGTATTATGTATGCTTTTCATTTTCTTTTGATTCCAAAAAACTTTACTTCTGTACTAACAAAAATAATAAAATTAATATTTATAAGCAAGTATATAATAAGTGTTTACTAAATGTTCCTCTAAACAAGGAATGAAACATAAAGGAACACAAGAGAATTTGTTATGAGTTAGAACAAGATTCTAGATTCTTTTTTTTAAAGATTTTATTTATTTTTAGAGAGAAGGTAAGGGAGGGAAAAGGAGAGGGAGAGAAACACTGATGTGAGAGAAACATCAGTTGTTTGCCTCTTGTCTTGACTGGGGACCAAACCTGCAACCCTGGTATGTGCCCTAATTGGGAATCAAATTGACGACCTTTTATTTCGCGGAACACCCAAACAACTGAGCCACATCTGTCAGGGTTAGATTCCAGATTCTTTACCCAGTTCTACCATTGACCTGTTAAATAGCATTGGCCTAATAGTTAATTTTTATTTCAGCTTATTTTAATTTGAGAAGTGATTTGTTGTGTTTGAGATTGTTATGAAAAGTATTATTTCACTAGGACACGACTTGTGAAATTGGAACTGGTATTTCCCAACGTCCTGATATCTCTAAACAAACGCAATACTGGAATAATGTTCCTGCAGAATATAGGCATTTTAATTTTAATGATCTGCTTAACAACAAACTGGAGTTTGAACATTTCCGTCAGTTTCTCGAGGCTCATTCGTCAAGGTAAGGGACATAACCATTGTAAAATGTATTTCCCTCTTGAAATGTCATTTTTTTTTTCTGAGCTACTTATTGTTTTTAAGCTGTATGGATAACCTTTTGTTAGGGAGTGCATTTTAAAAATAGCAACCTCCAAAACATTATTTTAAGTGGTTAAATAGTATTTGCTGATCCTTTTAGCATTGGCTAAACTAAAGCACTAGTGTGTTCTGTCCTTTCCATTTCCTGCTGTTTCTTTTGCATTTGTCCAGACAGGTGCAATTACAGCTTCTGAGAGTTGTCTTTTTTATACTTGGCTAAGCTATTGAAATTAACATAATATTTTATATATAATTTTTGTTAATATATAAATGAAATGTAGTTCTGCACAGAATCTTGGGACCTTATAACATACTTACCTCATATAAACTGAAGTGTTGATCATCGGTTTTTTTCCAAAATTTTTCCCACAAGGTAGCAGATACTGGTTAGACTTGGGAGCCACACTTCACATGCACAATTTCACTTTGTGCTGAGGATTATTCTAAATTTAGCTCGTTGTCAAATAGACATGCAGTGGGTGGGGATGTTCCCATATTTGAAACTGACAGTACTCGTCCATTATTAAAAGAAGAACTCTGAGACCCTACCGACAATGGTGATAGATTTTTTTCTGATTTCAGGACTCTTGCTATTCATTCCTATATTTAGCCAGGATGAGGCAAGAATTGTACTCATTATTTTCATGACCTAATCACTTCTGCTAACTTGTCAAGATGACGATTTTCTAAGTTCTGTCAAAACAAGAGCTTTGCTTGGTGTTGAGTAGAACTGAGAGAAATAAATAAGAAAGGCTGTACTTTGTTTTTGTTTTTGTTTTAGCATGGACCTTATGTGCTGGACAGACATTGAGCAGTTCCGAAGAATAACTTACAGAGATCAAAAGCAAAGGGAGGCAAAATCTATATATATTAAAAACAAATATCTTAATAAAAAATATTTCTTTGGACCTAACAGCCCCGCTTCTCTACGTCAGCAGGATCAGGTATCAACACGAAAAAAATATTTTCTATACTGAAGTATAAAAACCAGTAACTTATAATTATTTTTTTGCCAAAAACTTGAAAGTCATCTTTTTCATTTGCTTTTATGACTTAGATGTTAGACACCTTTGATATCTCTTTTTTCTTAGGTATTTACAAGTATCTACAAAATCAGTGTCTTTGAAATTCACTCAAGTATTACATATTATAAAATGTGTTATTTTTAAAAGTTATTTAAGAATAAAAATAACTTTTATTCATTCACTCATCCACTCATGCAGCAAATACAAGTGCCTGTGATATGCCAGACACCCTCCTGAGTGCTCGGGGTATGTGGAGGGCAAAGTGGACTAAGTCCTTTCAACAAGCAGAAAAACAGCCACTGTCAGCCGTTAAGCTCCATCTCGACCTCTTTTTTGTTCTTCTATTAACTGATATTACTCCAAACATAACTAATCTTTGAAAAATCCCATTTGCCATTGTATTGTCCCCAGAAACTATTTTCATTGACCAGGAATATAGGTTTGGCCATTTTTTTGGACCAAAGTCACATGGTCTGCATCACAACTTATTAATAACCATGGTATTATTACTTATAGAAAAAATTCGTATTGGGAACCAGCAGTGGGTTTGATCACATAAAATATGGCTCTTTTTTTATGGTTAAAAAGTTGTAATTATTTATTTTTTGTTCAAAGTTTGCTAGTACTACCTCCTAGAGATAAATGATAGAATTTTATTTCTTTATATTGGTAATTTAAATAGATGCATATTTTGATGGCATACACTCATAAAATACAAATCTCAGATTAATGAGAAATTAATTAAAAAATTCAGAGATGTTCACAAGCAGAGCCTATCAAATTAAAAACCTTGATCTTTGCAGGGAGAAGTAAGTGGAAGTCCTTGGGAGTAAGAGGGACCAGAAGTAGAATTAAGCAACCTTGACAAAAATACTTTGCTGTTAGTTCCCTGAGATACAGTCTGGAATGTGTTAGCAAAAGAAGTTGGGCATGTCAATGAGCACAAACGTGAAATAAGCACGTGGAAAGCATTTGTCTTCTACGTGGCCTGTGCTACACTGTATGAGATTTAGTGCTATCCGTGGCTACTGTGTGAACCCTCCATAGTATAAACATGCTGAGCATTTAAAATTCAGCGGAAAAAGTCACCCATTGCTATCATAACAAATGATTGTACTTACTACAGAGGAGTTTTCCCAGTAACGCTTCTTCATCTTTATCTTTATTTTTATTTTTACTTACTTATATTTTACACTTAAGCATATTCAGATCACATTATGTTTTATATAGATCATGCTAGTTCTAATTTCAGTTGTGTGGTCATTTTGCTCTTTGATTAGCAAAGTAGTCTTTTCTTTTTTTAATACAAAAACAGTATTGTTAATATTATGTGATTAACATTAAAGAATGTCTAAGAGAGTTTCTCTTTTGTTTTTATGTAAAACAATTTATTAGTAGGATTTGATTAATCAAAGGAGAGCTAAGAAGAAGGTACTATTTCCAATGAGCAGTCCAAAAATTTTGACTGTGCACAGGAACAGGTGAAAACAGAATGATTTATAGAAGGCAATAGCCATTAGCAGCTTGTCGAAGCCAATAATTATGCAAAAAGAAGATGTGGGCCACAAAGAAATTGTGTTTTATAAAAGACGCTACCCGTGCAAGTCAGACTGTTGCCTGTGTAATCTGGTCTTTCTCTACTTCTTGCCACCTCTGCTTTCATCTTAGAGGCTGTTGGAACAGCCCTGCGTTGCCGGCCCCACCAGCATCCCCCCAGCTCCCACCCCGTATTTGTAATACCTGAGTCAGGGTTGTCTCTTCACTGTCCTCATTAACAAAACAAAATGATTTCTCCAACATGTCACTTTGACTAGAACCACAGGTTCGTGGAATATTAGGCCTAGAAGAGAATTTAGAAAACACATACACCGATGCGCTCATTTTAGTTGAAGGTGCTGAGGTCATGGAGAAAAAAATGGCATTGCTTGTAGTCTCACTGGGTAAAAATCCCATTCCTGTGTTTTTTTGAAGCAACCATCACATAAACCACAATTCTCTCTTTGGTGTTAGAGAAGTTATCCAAGTTTACTGTACACAATAGAGCCAAGAGGCAATCTTACAGAAGATGAAAATTGTGATACCTATCAGGTGCTCAGCAAATGGTTTGGGGGTAAATGAATAAATTAATAACTATTAGTGTTTCTTTACCAAAAGAGAAGTTTGCAGTTTCTGATTTATTTTATTTTCTTAGATAATGAATTTAAGTGGTGGCTGGGGAAAGCTTCTCCATGAGCAGCTTGATGGACCTGTTCTACTTGAAATTCAGAAGCATGTCCTAAATAGGCTAGAAAACGTGTGGTTGCCATTGTTTCTTGCAAGTGAACAGTTTGCAACACGTCAAAAGATAAAGGTATATGTTAGTACTGCAATCTTTGGATGGTAATTGACAGTACCTCTCGTACCAAATGTGCACGCCTGTTGACCCAGCCCTTGTACTTCTATGGCCACATGGTTAAGGACATGGCATCAGACTTCCCAAGTTTTAATATCAACACTGCCATATATTAACTGTACAACTTTAACTTTTACAGCCGTAGTTTATTCATTTAAAAAATGGGGTTAGTAAGAGTCATTGCTTCATAAGATTGTTGTGAAGATGAAATGAAATGGTATATGTTTAGTTTCTTAACATGGTGCCTGGCACACAGCAAACACCCAAATATTATCTATTAGTGTAGGTGTTTTTTATATTATTATTATTAAATCCTCACCTAAGTGGGCAAGGGTATACAAAGAAGAATACTTAAATGCATTATGGTAATTTCATACTATGGAAAACTATGTAAATTTCTATATAAAATTACATTAAAATATAAAGTGAGATTTCCACATGTGCTGACATGAAAGATTTTATTTGTTGAGTGAAACAAGCAAGATGCAGAACAAAATATAGGAGATAATCCCATTGTAAACTTACACCTATATATCTGTTTATTTATGTTTCTATCTCTGCCCATCCATCCACCTGTCTATCTTTATGTTTATGAAAAAAGATCTAAGAGGATCTGCCTCCTGAGAATGGGTTCGGGAAGTGAAAAGGATTTTTACTTTACTTTGTAAAGTGGGATAGTTTTTTGCTTTTTTTATTTAAATAAGAAGTATGTATTACTTTTATAATTTAAAATGTCATTATCATATAAAAATAAGAAAACCTCATCTTTACAAAAATAACAGAAGGGGCAGAGAACATGTATTGTAATTTTGGACTTGAGTGTGCAAAGCATATGCCATTAATAATGATCAGGAAGAATCTAAAAAAAAAAGTTTATCAAACACTATGAGACTTACTTATCTGGAAATATCCTTAGTCTTCTGAGCATCTTAAGTTATGGAAAACATGGGATACCTGGGAACATAGAATTTATGGTATGGATAAGGGCTGACTTGTTTTAGGCAAAATGTTCCTGGAAATAAGCTTTGGAACAATTCAAGTTTCCTTCCTTCCTTCCTTCCTTCCTTCCTTCCTTCCTTCCTTCCTTCCTTCCTTCCTTCCTTCCTTCTTTCCTTCCTTCCTTCTTAAAGATTTTATTTATTTATTTTTAGAGAGAGGGAAAGGGAGGGAGAGAGGGAGAGAAACATCAATTGGTTGCCTCTAGCATGTGCCCCTACTGGGGACCGAACCCACAACCCAGGCATGTGCCCTGACCAGGAATCAAACCAGCAAGCTTTGACTTCGTGGAATGATGCTCAACTCACTGAGCCACACCAGTCAGGGTCCTCATTCCTTTTTTCAGGCTAACTCCAACTCTCTATCCAAAGCCAAGTAAGTATAAAGATATTTAGTGTACTAATATTATTTACCACCTTTTTTTCACTATGTTTAGCACAATAACTTTACTGTAACTTATAAGCCATTTCCTGATTTAGCATTTCTTGGGTGACCAACAACATAAACTGATTTTGGCAACCTTAAGCCAAAGACAAACGAGAAGGGAGAGAATTTATTATAAAGTGGTGCTAGAGTATCTCACACACTTACGTGAAGAGTTGATACCCAAGCTTTAGAAGGGTCGGGGCCAGGACAGCTATGGGAACCTAACAAGAAAAATTGACCAATCTTTTCTCCAGACTGTGGCTGTCAGAAAGACTCAGCATAAGAGACGCTGGTCCCTGTTTCTGTCGGTCAGCTGTGAATCTATCTATGGAAGACAGGTTGACTCACATAGTACAGATTTGGCAGGAGTGGTTCCCAAGAAAGGGAAAAGAGTGTTAATCAGCAATAACATCAAGAAATATCTACTGTATTTTCTGCCTCTGTTGGATAACTTTTGTAACACTCCTAAAAATGGTGGTGGCTAGCTCTGGCTGGTGTGGCTCAGTGGATTGAGCACTGGCCTGTGAACCTAAGGGTCGCTGGTCAGGGTACATGCCTAGGTTGTGGGCCAGGTCCCCAGTGGGGGACACGGGAGAGGCAACCACACGGTCATGTTTCTGTCCTTCCCTTTCTCCCTTCTTTCCCTTCTGTCTAAAAATAAATAAATAAATTATTTTTAAAAATTAAAAAAAAAAGTTGTGGCTAGAAAATAGCACAAAAATCTAGAAGTTCTAATTATCTTTTCAGGTCCCTGTGACCCAAAGTGGAACTATCATCTAATTTTAGGGCAATAAATAAATCTCTATTTTGCAGGTGAGGAAACTGTTCATAACAGAGAACTTGAGCAACTCACCCAGGGATCTAGACAGAACTTCCATTTCTAAGCCTGATCCTTTTTCTTCTGAACTGTACTATCTCTTATCCATGCTGACCTTTACTTCATTTTTTTAAAGCTACTAAATTAGCAAATGATATCAAAACTTTAGACGTCTTGATAATTTCCATAAAATAATTGGTTTTGCTTTTAGGTACAGTTGAGAGACATAACTGAAGAACTCTTACTACAGAGGCACAAAAGGAAAATTGGGGTCTGGAAGGTAAGTAATTATTTGTAACATTCTTCCTCCTATAAGTTCTACTCTGCCCAAGTATTTTTCTCCTTCTTGTCCAAAAACCCTCCTGGTAGACACTGTTTCCAAAGCCACCAACTGGCCACCAACGCTGCTCTTAATTGGCTGGTAGAATGTAGCGGAAAGTGTGATTCGACCAGAGCCTTCTTAAACAGTTCCTACCCCCGCCTCAGCTCCAGAAGTGTCTGGTTGGACTTTAAATATGTATTTTTATTAATTTTATATGTGATGAATTTATTGAGACAAGGTCTTCATTCCAGCATGTGGTAGTTTATCTATTATTGAGAGCGGATTACACAAAACAATTGAGCAATATGCAGAGTCAGCAGGTTCAATTAGATGCATTGCCCCCCTTTATTTAGAATTACATTTTAGCTTTAAAAGAATTAAGTTAACTATCATTTTGGTGATTATTTAAACTGCTATAATATGATATCTAACTAGAAATTGCCTATTTTGCTTCTTAACAAGCATGATAAACACAATCTTCTTTTTGAGCCTATAAATTTATGGGTATTTATCCTTCTTTAGGTCTTGATAAAATGTCAAAGTAGACCCAGGTGACTCACTGCAAACAAAGATAAAATTTTATTTGTCTGTTAAAGGAATATGTGTGTGTGTGTGTGTGTGTGTTGGGGTCCTCTTTTTCTGTATTTTCCTCTTGAAAGGAAAAAAAACCCCTGCTCTTATTTGTCTTTTGCCATATTTTTATTGAATTACTAAGTGCAGCGGGCTTATATTTCATCTTATTGTGCAGTGTATATTATGTTATTTGTGTTTAAAAAATTACATGTTTTAGTTAAATTACTAAGTTATAGTATCTTAAGAAGCAGGCCTTAAAACATTATTTGCTGAGTGGGTTTTAAACAAACACCCCAGTCTAATACATAGTTGTTCCTATTTATAGGGCTATAATTCTAATATGGACCATGTGGTGAGGGTCTTAACTTCTTGTCCAGAGACCACAGCGTGTGCCTCCCTAAAAAGGTGACAAACAGCTAGTGTTTTGTCTGCTGAAGGGCCCCACCGTTCATCTCGGCTGCCTGGAGTTGCCTTCCATTTTCAGTTTCCTCCTCAGATGTCGCCCTGAAGGCCTTTCTCTGCAAAGCTTTCACTTTTCCAGGCAGAATGGGTTGCGCCTTCCCTTGTGTTCCCATGGCACTTTTTATATAATACTTATTTTGATGATCACATGTGATTTGTTTCAAGAAACTTACTTTATGCATTATCTGTAATGGGTATTTATCATGTGTTTTGTTTGATTGTTACGGTAATTCCTGAGTTCACCTAAAACACAGCCTTGGAAGGATGCATGGTCGTAGGCTAAACTCAGATTTGGGGAACTTCAGTAAAATTTAGCCAGGAATAAAAAATCTATTCCTAAGTTCAATAAAATCTGTTTTGCCATCTGAGAAGCTGAAGGGGACTGAATATGTGATCGAAAAGAAGTAGACATCTTAAAATCATGAAGATATAAAATAAGTAATACCTTTAAGCATTAACTAAAACACCATGGCTCCTTCAGGCTTTTTTGTTAGGTAAGGTGTATCCTCAGTCAGAGGAAGTTTATTATCAAAAACAACGTATTAATAATTATTTCTTCTCATTATCAATTCTTAATAACAATTTGTTATTAAAATAATATAAAGATATCTCACCAAAACCATGATCTGTCTAGGATAGAATTATAGTGAAGTTCCACAGTAAATTTCCTTTTTAAATTAATAGAATTAATTGGTAATTTTTTCCTAAAAATTTGAAAAATATCTTAAATGTTCAACTGCTTTTAATTTTTTCTTCTTATTTTCCCTCTTTCCTGCACCTTTTCCCCCCATTCCCCTGCGTCCTGCTCCCTCCCGCTCCTGTCTGATCTCCATTTCTGTGATTCTGTTCCTGTTCTAGTTGTTTGCTTAGTTTGTTTGGTTTTTTTAAGGTTCAGTTGTGGATAGTTGTGAATTTGTTGTCACTTTGCTGTTCATAGTTTCTGATCTTCTTTTTCTTAGATAAGTCCCTTTAACATTTCATATAAGGGCTTGGTGATGATGAGCTCCTTTAACTTGACCTTACCTGGGAAGCATTTTATCTGCCCTTCCATTCTAATTCATAGATCTGCTGGATGAAGTTATCTTGGATATAGGTCCTTGCATTTCATGTCTTGGAATACTTCTTTCCAGCCCCTTCTTGCCTGCAAGGTTTCTTTTAAGAAATCAGCTGATAGTCTTATGGGAACTCCTTTGTAAGTAACTGTCTCCTTTTCTCTTGCTGCTTTTAAGATTCTCTCCTTATCTTTAATCTTGGGTAACTTAATTATGATGTGCCTTGGTGTGTGCTTCCTTGGGTCCAACTTCTCTAGGACTCCCTGGGCTTCCTGGATCTCTTGGAAGTCAATTTCCTTCACCAGATTGGGGAAGTTCTCCTTCACTATTTTTTCAAATAAGTTTTTGATTTCTTACTCTTCCTCTTCTTCTTCTGGCACCCCTATGATTCGGATGTTGGAAGATTTAAAGTTGTTCCAGAGGTTCCTAAGCCTTTCCTTGTTTTTTTGAATTCTTGTTTCTTCATTCTGTTCTGGTTGAATGTTTATCTCTTCCTTCTGCTCCTAATCATTGATCTGAGTCCTTGTTCCCTTCCTTTTACTGTTGGTTCCCTGTATATTTTCCTTTATTTCACTTTGCATAGCCTTCACTTTTTCCTGTTTTGCAACCATACTCAACCATTTCTGTGAGCATCCTGATTACCAGTGTTTCAACTGTACATCTGATAGGTTAGCTATGTGTTCATCACTTAGTTAAATTTTTGGAGTTTTGATCTGTTCTTTTATTTGGGCCATATTTCTTTGTCTCAGCATGCCTGTCATGTTGTAAGGGGTGGAGCCTCTGCTTTTAGTTCTTAAAAGGCAGGATAATTATATATTAATCTATGGCATAATATATGAAACTATAAAATAAATAGTAATATAACAATGTATAATCATAACATTATGATTACTTTGTTCTGTTTAAGCAAACTCATACTATGCACTAACGTGGTTTTTCACCATAGTATCAAACTGTAATAATTCTTAACATTCTCTAACAATGTAGTCATTTGTTCTAAATCATCCAATCATTTCTTTTTCTCTCTACCTCTTGACACAATGATACCATAAAAAAGGAAAGGAGACAAAAGGGAGAGGAACAGAGGAAAAAAGTTCTCAAATTCTCTTGTATCCAGGCCATACATTTCAGCAGCCAAAAGTAGAAGCTGGTGATTTTTAGTCTAGTAAATGACTTTGTTTACTTTTTATGACACAGCTAATTTTCTGTACTCTCTGTTTTGGACAGCCTGTGGAGAGTAAGTGGATATCTTCATCTTGTGAAATCATTGCTTTTCGTAAAGCATTATTGAATCCAGTTACAGCAAGACAATTTCAACGGTTTGTGGCTCTAAAAGGAGATTTATTGGAAAATGGGGTGCTGTTTTGGCAAGAAGTACAAAAATATAAGGTATTTTATTGGGAGTGGGAGAAAGCCACTTCTTTTTGAGGAGGAGATACATTAATATACCAGATTCTTTACATAATTGGTGGCTTTAATAAGATGTGATTTTAAAACTGTGATAATTCAAAATTATGTGATCATTTGCTGTCATACTGTATTTGTGGAGTAGCTAATAGAAGCTTTGCCTAATCTGAAACAAAAGGAAACTTAATTTTCTCTGATCAGTTCAATAAATGGGACAGTCTTAGATTAATATTTAATTTTAAATGCATGGAAACATGCATTTTTGGAAACCTTTAATTATATACATTTACATAGAGGATAAAAATATGTCTAATGAATATGTGCCCTTATTTGTGTAATAAACATGCTCTTGCACAGTATGTGAAAAAAAAATCAGATTCTTAGCTGTAACCTTATGTAGAAGATATCCTAATTTTGCCACCTTCATACCAATATATGAAAATATTGAGGTGTTTTTCTATTTTAGATACATTATTATTATATAATGAAGAGTAAGAGTGAGCCCTAAATCATAGTATAGGTTTTTCAAGGTAGTCCCATATATTATGATCTAATGAGAATTTTCCTGAAAAGTGTTAACTATATTTTGGCATATCACTCATCTGTAAATGTGCTCTATACATTTTCCCCTGAAGACGTCCATGTTCACTACTTTAACCAAGATCTCTTTACAAGAATTCCCAACCATATTTACAGCAATAGTACTCAAAGAGAGTGGATATAGCTAAATAAACCAACAGAAATGAGAGAGGCTTTTCTATTAAATGGCCAAATTTTTAACAAAATAAATAAGTGAAAATACAAGTGGTTAGGTTCAAAAGCAGTTTGTTTTCAGGTTCAAGTGCTTAATGAAATCATATAGAATCTTTGCATTGAAAAGGAGGAAAGGACTTTCTAGGTTATACAATCTAAACTTGAACACAGGAATGTTGTCTAGAAATACCTAAGAGTAAGCATCAGGGCTCTGCTTAAACATTCCCAGGGGTATCGGGCTCATTTCCTTGCAAGCAGCCTATTTTATCCCATTATAAAAATAGGGAATAAAAATAAAATTGGAATTTAAGTTGATAATGCTTTCAATTGGCTCATAATATAAGTATGTATTATGCAGTATGAATACTCTGCAACATGTATATCCTGTATAGGTAGTAGTTGCTCAATAAAATCTAGTTCTAAACTTTCTCCAACATACCATGAAACAGTTTTCTACCCTTTTCTGTTATCAACAGTTTTTGTGCTATTCACAACTTAGAAATTTTCTCAGGAAAAAATATCTTGAGATCAGTTTTTTCCAAAGTTTGTCACAATATAAGTAATATTAAAATAGGGTGGGTTTTTTTTTTTTTTAGAATTAGAAAGGGTGTAGAGTCTGTTTTCCAGAATAGGCAATTATTATAAGTGGATAGAGGTATCTTCAAGCTAATATGAATATGAGTAAGCCCAGCCCTGCTCAGACAAGAGGTAATGAGATAAACCTTCCAAGATAAGTATTTAGTAAACCAAAGTCTCATACTCAGTCAAACCTTAGTATTGTAACTGTTCCTTCTTCAAGGCTGCCTTGGTCTTCATTTAGATATCTTCTCTGCATCATAGAATGGAGGATGTATAATACTGGGTAACTATTAAAAATTATGGTATAGAACTGAATTTGTTCATTCAGTAAGCATTTATTAAGCATCGAATGTGCCAGCCATGATGTCACATTGTAGGAATAAGAATATGAATATAACATATTGCTCTCCCTCCGGGAGGGGGAGATCTGTGAAAATAAGTAGCATTGATTACGGTCCATGCTCTAACTAGGTGTCCCCACAGAAGAGGGAGTGATCGAGGGAGGTGGCAGAGCAGGGAGTGTCCTCAGAAGGGATGTGCTTGGATTGGGTCTCGAGCATTCCCCCTGCCTAAGTCTTAGTGAGCTCACTCTTACATGCTTTACTCTTATTAAGTGTTTGCTATCTGCCAGATATTGTCTTAATGCTTTTCATGTAATACCTAATTTATTCTTCATAAGAATCCTATGAGACCAAAGCTGTTATCCTCGCCATTTTACAGATGAAGAAGCAAAGGCACAGAAAAGTTAAACTCCTGACATCATGTCACTAATTGAGTGACAGAGCTGGAATTTGAACCAAGGCTTTCTGTTGCTAAAACTCATGTCCTTAACCAGTAATGGTTGTAGTAATATGCAAAGAGATGGTTACAGTGATTTAATCAAACTGTGAATTGTAAGAAAATTGGAAAGAACCCAGATATTCAACAACAAGACAATGGCTACTTATTTATGCTACATCTATACAACAAAATACTCGGCAGTCATTGAAAATTATGCATTGGAGAATAATCAATGACGGGAAAGATAGTCATCATACTGATTTTTTTAGAGCCTTGCTACTGGAAAACAGTATGGTTTAATCTGAAGTGGTCTGTGTGTCTCCATAGAGAAAAGACTGGAAGTGTATATTTATTCAATACATACTTATTGAGCACCTAACAAGGACCAGGCTAAATCCTGAGGACCCAGCTGTGGTCAAAACAGCCTTCCCTCACAGAGTCCACAGTGTTTTGGGAGGACAGACAAGTGATAGACAAGGCAGTCGCAACAGTGTGCTGGGTGCAGTGGTGAGGAAAGCAGAGGGTGCAAGGGAAGGGCCCAACGTGGGCATCTCTCCGGGGTGGAGGCGGTCACAGAAAGCTTGCTGGGGAAATGATGAGACCTGAAGGACACGTGACAGTGAACTAGGCTAGTGGCATAGTAGGACAGAGCAGTTAGGGAAAAAATTAATTTTGATTCTGTCTAAATTTTGTCCCTTCACTCTCAAAATTGAAACTGTGTAACTTCACAAATTTGTTTTTATTTCATAAACCTTATATTCCATAGTTATAAACCAGGCTGACCAAATAATTATTATGATAATCTCAGCAGTAATGGCAGAAAAATACATTTTTGGTAACATGCCAAACATGTGGTATAAATAGACCTTTTTTGAGGGGATACTAAATTGAGTAAAAAATGGTAACTGTTGTCTCAGTGTAACATATCGAGCTTTTTTCACGTATCACTTATGCTAAACTGTATATGAAGTTTTATATGACAAGCACTAGAATTTTCTTTTAATAGTGTCCATAAGACATAAATTATTACAATGCCCATCATACAGTGAGTGCTTAATAAATGTTGGCTCATTTCTGCCCTGGAATTATGTTTCCAAATTTGTGTGCTTTCTGGTGATTTAGACAACAATATCTTTAACAGACAAGTGCCATAATTCAAGCTAAGCTACATCTTTATTTTTTAAACTAATGATAGCCCTGACCCTGGCCAGGTAGCTCAGTTGGTTAGAGCATTGACTTGGTACACCAAAGTTGTGGGTTTGATCCCTGGTCAGGGCGTGTACAAGAATCAACCAAATGCCCTAACTGGTGCAGCTCAGTTGGTTGGGCATCTTGCTGTAAAGTGAAAGCCGCCTGTTCAATTCCTGGTCAGGGCACATGCCTGGGTTGCAGGTTCGATACCGATCCCTGGTTAGGGTGCATACTAGGAACGGCAACTGATTGATGTTCCACTCTCATGCTGATGTTTGTCTCCCCCTCTTTCTCCTTCCCTTCCCCTCCCTTTAAAAATAAATAAATAAAATATTTAAAAAACAAAGAATCAACCAATGAATGCATAAATAAGAACAAAGAACAACAAATTTGTGTTTCTCTAAAATGAATTAAAAATTTTAAAAAATGATAGCCCTACATCTATGCCATAAAACTGAGTCTTTTTAATGTAGGATCACTATTCTTAAGTTCTTTAACAATACAAAGGATACTATAATAGGTTAATTTAAAAACTATAGATGCACACTGACACGCCTGTCCCCACCAGCATGCGGCTTATGTAGCTAGCCTGTCCGCACCTGAAGCCTCTTGGTGTAGAAGCAGTTCTGGTTGAGAAGGTTTTGCAACCACCTGTGAGTTGAGTTAGGCGTGCCTTTTCTCAGCACTCCCCTAGAACGCTGTGTGTACCTTTATCGTAGCACTTATTAACTAAATTGTAGTAACATATGTTCATGCTTCTCCTTCAATAGAAATTGAGCCTTTTAAAGGATAGATACTATGCCTTGGAGCTCAACTCCATGTCTGGCATAGAGCAGACCCTCAATATAAATTTAGTAAATAAGTCAAAGTAGACACTAGATCTCTTCCTTTGCATAGGAGAAGAAGCAATCAGGATAAAATGAAACCTGTATTTATGTAAGATATATGCATCAAAGGCTTAGGTTCCTCAAACCCAAGAGAAATAAAAGGTATGATTTTTAAAGATAGCTCTGGCATGACCCCATGCCCTCTTGACCTGAAGTTAAAATGTATATAGTAGCTAAAAGTCATATTGGTACACTTCTATAAAGTGGTCTAGTAATACATTAAATATATCGTTCTATCTTTTCTCCTTGTCCAGGACTTGTGCCACTCTCATTGTGATGAGTCCATCATCCACAAGAAGATCATGACTATTATCAACTGTTTTATCAATTCTAGTATTCCACCAGCTTTACAAATTGACATTCCATTAGAGCAAGCCCAGAAGATTATTGAACACAGGAAGGAGTTAGGACCATATGTATTCAGAGAGGCGCAGGTAAGCGATCGCAGCATGTGGCTCAGCATACCTTAAAATACATTGGCAATCTAGATATTCTTTTAAAGCTTTTGCATTATTAATATTTGACAAGGGTCCAATCCTCCTATTACTGCAATTTATCCTATTTAATTAAAAAAATCTTTGCCTAAGCCACAGAACATAAGTAACAAGTAGTTGACTCTTTTGTTGTTGATAATGTACAACAAATGCAATTATTAAATACTACACTTTGACTTCGTATGTTACCATTTCTTGTTTCTAATTCATAACACAAGCTAATTCCTCCTTCCTTTCCCACCATACGTATCCCTTTAAAATATCCGCTACCACAAAAATGTGTGGAATATATGTGTCCCAAGATTTGTGTATTTTTAAAGATTGGAGTATTCACATAGCTCATAAAATAAGTGAGAGGAGATTTAAGTACCCGACCAACATAAAGTACACAAGCTCGTGAAAGGAAAATCATGCCTGCTAACCTGCTCATGTTACTTCTTTTTAAGATAAATAATAGAAAACAGTGATTTGGTGAACATAATTTATTTGCATTTTGAAAAGCCTTTTACTGATGTTGTTCCTGAAAAATGATTTAGAAAAATAAATTATAATAGAGGGACTAGGGAAGGCCATGTCATGACTTCAGTGATATGAAACAGAGATTTAGGGTATGATTGCCCTTGAGCATGGAAAAAGGCCATTACTCCTTAACGTTCATTTGTGAGCCAGCTGTGTTCTAAGTCCTCTAAGGAACTGAAAGTGGACTCACAATCCAAATTATGCATTAAAATAGGGGAAAATATAGAGGAATGATTGAGGATGTGCTAGAGAGAAATAGAGAAAACACGGTGCCAGAGCTGTAGCATCTGTTAATGAAAAGATCTGAGAGATCGCTTAGCCCTAGCGCAGGCCTGCTGAGCGCCAGGCCAGGGCCTTGCCCGCTGGATCAGAAACCCCGCGGCCGACGGGGACTGTCTGGAGCTGCTTCCACTGGCTGGTTCGCCACGCTGTCAGGGGTCGCAGCCCTGGACTTTGTGGGAGTCCTCTAGTTTCTGCCGTCTACGTGATTTCCTAAAATGGAGGCCCAGGCTCATACTTTAAATAAGGGCTTTGGAGCATCAGAAAATAAAGGGATATTTGATTAGAAGCCATTCCCCACCAGATCGATTATTCCTTCCGTGTTTCCTAAGGAAGCTCAGAGAAGGGCATCACCTCCTACAAGCCAGAGGGCTGGTGGCCATGTTCACGTCTTCCCTCTCCTTCATCCCCTCACCCTAAAATGTATCCCTTTGTCTCCTTGTTGTCTGTCATTCTGTCTACTTTTCTCCAACTTCATGCTACCACCTCAGTCCGTGTCTGCAAAGTCTCACGTTGATTACTAAAATTCCCTGCCTCTAGGCTCTCTCAAAACCCACTTAACTCACTTTCAATTTCAACTACTCCCCACTGTCCTCAGAATGAAGATCATACTCCTTCGTACAAGCCTCTAACCACATCTCCTGCCGTTTATCTCCCCGTCCTGCTGAGACGTTTATGGTTCCATAAAGCAGCCTTCCCCTCTTCCCTCCTGAGCGTTTTGCAGTACCTTCTCTTCCTTGTGCTTTTATAATATCCTGCCTTTGTCCCTGTCTGAACGCTTATAGCCCAGAATTGAAAATGACTATTCTCATGCTTGACTTTCCCATTAGACGGAAAGGCCTTTGATGGCAGGATCTGTCTCTCATTTTCCTTTGCGGCCTGAATGCCTGACACAGAAGGGGCACCCAACAACGTGTTTTTTTTTTTAATCCTCACCCAAGGATATGCTAGAGAGGAGGGAAGAGAGGGAGAGAGAGAGAGGAAAAGAAACATCAATGTGACAGAGAAACATCAATTAGTTGCCTCTCGCATGCACCCCAGACCAGGGCCTAACCTCCAACCCAGGCATGTGCCCTGACCAGGAATCAAACCTGTGACAGCGCTCCAACCAGCTGAGCTACACTGGCCAGGGCTTCAATAACATTTTTGAACATGCGAATGACTGATGTGAGAAGAGATCTATCACAACAGAAAGGAGTATAATCAAATTGGAAATGAGAGCAAAGCTGAGTTAAAGGGCTAAATGGTGAATTAAAAACTGTTGCCCGTTTTAGTGTTGCTATCAGCGTAGCGTCTGCCTTGTCCCCCACCTGCATGCCTCGCACTCCGCCAAGGTTTTCATCGCTGGACATTTTTGCCACTGTGCACCTGCTGGCCGTCAGCAAAATAGCTCTATATTTATTAAAACATTTTCTTACCAAGAGTTTGGTTATCTTTTAAGGTTCTGGAGGTTCAGGGTAATGTTCATAAATAACACATAAGTTACTAACCTAAAATCACAACTTTGAGAAATAGAGCAATTTTATGTCTGCCTTTGAAAAATTGCTAATCAGGTGACTTTCACTGGAAGGCCTTCTAGGTGGAAATAAATATATTTGAGAGTGGGGATGACTCAAGTTTTGGAGCAATAAATGAAAATTTGGGTCTATCGTTGATAAACAGAGAAGGAGGGGTACTTAAGTTTAAAAAGTTCATATGAAAATTATCATGATCCCTGAACAGTAGAGCAGGGGACTCCTGAATTAAATGCGTGGCAGGTAAATAAAAAAGGCTTAAAGGCCTGCCTTCTATCAAATAAAGTAGCTCTGGTTTTTGTGTTCACGATCCCAAGAGGCTACAGAGTTCAATGACAAAGTTGTATTTTAAAAGGAGTAAATAATTTTAAAATTACTAATAATATCCATGTACAAAAAAAGAAGTAATGAAATATACTAATTCAGGACTCTGCTGATCACTGCAGCATGTACTTTTAAAAAATTCTCCTTTTCTTCCGAACAGTTGGCTTGGAGCCTAATGGGATGGTTCATTTCTCTCCAGGGCATTAGGGAAAGGCCGTTCCTAGCAACGAAATGTTGGACTTGATCTGATGTGGCAAGTCCTACCTTCTTGGAAGTAATGTATGCCTCTGGAACTAATGGAAAAACTTGGCATGGGAATTTGAGCAACAATTCTTATCTCTATAAATATCACAATTAATCACTTACTGTAGAGTGTCCTCATAGAAAGCATTTGTCCAGGATACCACTCTGCTTTTTAAATGTTACTTTTCTTGCTCTCACATAAAAGAGAGATTGTATCATTTAAAAGTTACTCAAGATTTATTCTTAGATCTTCAGCTTTGTTTAAGAGCTTTTCCAGAGGTAAATGGTATTTCCTTTCTCTAAAAGAAAGAAAAGGGGAAGGGGGAGAGGAGTTCCCCTTGATGGACTGAATATTTGGAATACTTGCATAAAACAGCAGAGTGTGTGGCAGATCAACTAGTATATGTTTTAAAAGAAAACATAAATTTCTTATTTAAAAAGACTTAATGGATTCTTTATTAATACAATCAATTGGTTAGGGAAACATAAAGAATAAAGTGACTTTTAAGTGTATTTAAGAATTTTTTTTTTTTAAAAGAAAGACTTCCCATTGGCAGTAAAAGCCATTGATGATAAGCATGTGCTGAGCTAAACTATACCAAGATGTCTGGAGACAATAAGTTAGAGGAAACATGCTGTATATTAAAGATAGAATAGTTAATCCATTATTATGGTGAATTAGAGTTTAAAACGGTGCATTTGTGTAAAATTGTAATCTGAGACATACTTTGTTTTTTATACAGATGACAATTTTTGGGGTTCTGTTTAAATTTTGGCCTCAGTTTTGTGAGTTTAGGAAGAACTTAACTGATGAAAAAATTATGAGTGCTTTAGAGAGAAGAAAAGAATATAATAAGCAGAGAAAGAAATCAGCGATCACAGAAGATGAAAAATTTGCAAAGGTGAGACGACTCATTTTGGGTTTAATTAGACTTTTAAAAAGTGTGTGATGCGTGTGAATTTATAGAGGAATTTGCGCCAGAGAAAAATACAAAAAAGTTAGAGAATACAGACTTCAGTGATTGTTAAGTGTTCAGCTGAAGGTTTCAGACTTTGTTTTGAATTCCTTAAAATTCATCTCAAATGTCACCTTTTCTCTTTGAAGGCTTCCTTGGCAGTCGCCTAGGCAACTTAAGGAATTCACACCCACTGTGGTCACATGTAGGGGAACTTTCTTGGAGAGCACTTTATGTTGTTTTAGGAATACATTTTTGCATTTGTTGTCCTCACTGGAGCGAGATCCTCGAGGATCGTATCTGACTTATTCATCTGTGTTTCGTAAACACTTACACCCGTGTCTGGCACATGCTCAATTATTAGTAATTGTTCACTGAATGAATGAATGTACAAATATTATGTCCTCAGGACAGCACTTTCAGTATTTCAGTTACAGACTGATACAGTGACTGTGAAATTTATAAATAGGGATCATAAATTGCTCAGCCTGCCTATTTGCCTATTAGTCTGTGCACCTAGCCGTCCATTCTTTTACCCATCTGCCTGTGTATTTCTCTCTTTTGTTTGAATAAGAGGGGTAACTCCTCCCAAAAACTGGATTTTATTTTATGTATAAGTTTATGCCTATTCTGTTTTTAAAAATAAATGTAAAAGATGTTGACATAAGAGCATCTAAACCTGTAGAAAAGTTGTATAAGAGTTTATTAGAGTTCATTTGAGCCAAATTAAGATATTCCTGGAAGCAAGATCTCAACAGACAGAAAAAGGCTTCTGATTATGAGTTTGCAGTTTTTTTGTTTTTTGTTTTTGTTTTTTTGTTTGTTTGTTTTGCATTTGGAATTAGGAGGGAATGTAAGAAAGTACGGAAGATTACAGGAAGGTGGGATAAAGCAAGGCAGGGATTGGATTACAGGACAGTTAAGATTATTTGCTCTTTTGAGGGTGATTACCCTTCCAGGAGTCTGAAAAAGAGGCATTTCAAAGGTGTGTTAACCTAGAAGCACAAGAACAATAGACAGGACTTGTTTAAGGCAAAGATAAACCTTTTACTAAAGAAGTTATATGGCTGGGGCGTGACTACTCACCATGACCTGCCTGGGTAGAAATTTATGATCGGATCCCCCTGCGAGGTTACTTTCAAGTTAGATTTATTACAGTGCCCGTTTTTCCTCCACAAAGAATATTTAATAGATATCAAAGTAATATATTGAACATTCATATCTGTACAGGTCAAAATAAACACTGTTAGCATTGTTTCATTTTCTTTTTTTCCCTTAAGAAATGACATATTGCCAAAAGAGTAAATTGTTATCCCAGCCCCCAGTTGTATTACTCTCCCTATCCCCAAGAGCGACCTTTAAGTTTGGGATATATTCTTCCATCTCTTTTAAAAGACAGTGTTTTATACATGTATATGAATTCATAAACAACACGGAGGACTATATTGTACATGTTTTAACTTACATAAACAGTACCATATTATATTAGTCTGCTAGGGCTACCATAAGAAAATTCCACACACTGGGTGGCATAAAGATCAAAAAATCATTTTCTCCCAGTTTTGGACACTAGAAGTCCCAAATCAGATGCCAGCTGATTCAATTTTCGATGAAAGCTCTCTCCCTACTTTATAGATGACCACCTTCTCCCTGGGTCCTCAAAAAGTGGGGAGAGAAAGCAATTCTTTATCTCTCTTCTTCCATCCCTCCCTCTCTTCCTTCCTCCCTCTTCTCAAAAGACCACAATCCCTTTAGGACTCCACCCTTATGACCTTACTTAACATTAATGATGTCTTACAGATCTCTCCAGCAACAGTCACACTGGAAGTTAGGGCTTTAATATATGAACTGGGGGGACATAGTTCAGTCCATAGCATATATTTCTACATCTTGCTTTTTAAACTCAATTTTGTCTTTTAAGTCAACCCATACAGCTATACTTGGGTCTGGTTTATTCAATTTAATTGTTACATACTCCTCCATTATGTGAATTAATGTACTATTTTTATTTATTTCTCTGTTGTTGGACATATGTTTCCAGTTTTCACCTTTACAAACAGCCCTTCAAACAACGTTCTTGTAAATGTTTCCATTTCCCTGTGTATAATTTTTTTTGGGAATTGCCGAGTAATAGAGTCTGTGTATTTTCAGTGGAGTAGGAGCTACCATTTCATTTTCCCTGTGACTGTGCCTGTTTATATTTCTGCCAGCAGTCTATGAGAATACTGCTTTTCCCCATTTGGTAGTCCTAACTTAGTATGTCTGACTTTAAAATGTTTGCCAGTCTGATGAAGAAAAATAGTATTCATTACTGATAATGCATCTATTTATATTTTCCCAATTATTAGAAAGATGGAGCAACTTTTTGCACATTATGTGACTATTCAGATATTTTGATCAGTATTGTAATGAACCTATAGATCAGTTTGGGGAGAAATGATATCATAACAATTATTCTTGATAATATCCACGAACACAGTATATCTCTAATTCACTCAGCAATGATTTATAGTTTTCAATGATAGGTCTTGAATGTATTTCGTAAAATTCTTTCAAAGTATTTCATATTTAAAATAATGGTGTTGCTAGATAGGTCTAGAGAGCGTTATGCTAAGTGAAATAAGCCAGTCAGTGAAAGACAAATACCATATTTCACTCATTTGTGGAATCTAATGAACAAAATAAACTAATGAACAAAATAAACTAACAAAATAGAAACAGACTCATGGATACAGAGAACAGATTGACAGCTCTTGAGGGGTGGGGTTGAGTGGCTGAGTGAAAAAGGTGAAGGGAATAAGGGAAAAAGAAAAGGCCTCCTGGACGCAGAAGACAACAGCATGGTGATCACAAGCGGGAAAGGGAGGCGGAGGGGGGAGGTAGAAGAGGGCATATGGAGGAAAATGGTGATGGGAGGAGACTTGACTTGGGGTGGTGAACATGCAGTACAACACGCAGATGATGTGCTATAGAACTGTATACCTGAAATCTATATAATTTAATTAACCAATGTCACCCTAATAAATGGGATTTAAAAAGGAAAAAATAAAATCATGCTGCTGCTTTACTTTTAATTTCAAATTCCAAATGATTTTTTTTAGAAAAAAACTAATCTGAAATAATTAATATCACAGTGAGTTGCAAAGATAGTAGACAAGCCCCATGTACCCTTCACCCAGTTTCCCCCACTGGCTACATCTAACAACAGTATAAACAGGAAGTTGACGTTGGTGAAAGATGGTGCTGGTGTTCTGTGCCACCTCCTCCCACACGTAAATTCAGGTAACCAGCACTGCATCCAAGATCCGCTGCAGCAATCTCTCTTGTGACTGTAAGTCGTATCCACCCAAGTATCCCTAATATCTGGCAACCCCAAATCTGCTCCCCATTTCTGTAATTTTGTCATTTTGAGAATGTTATATACATGGAATCATACAGGGTATGGCTTTGAGACTGGCTTTTTTTTCACTTCACATAAATGCCCCTGAGATCCGCCCAAGTTTCTGGGCGTATCCATAGCTCATCCTCTTCATTGCTGAGCAGTGTTTCATCGTACGTCTGTACTACAGTTTAAAATATTAATGTAATGACTTCTGCTTTCTTTTTTGTTTTTTTTGCATACTTTTATTTAATAACAGTTTTAATGAAATTTAATTCATGTTGGATAAAATTCACACTTTTAAAATGTACAATTTTGTGGTTTTCATATATTTACAGAGTGTGAAACCATCACTCCTACTAAATTTTAGAATATTTTCATCACCCCCAAAATAACTCTATACCCATTAGCAGCCCCTCCCCATTCCTCTCTCCCACCATCCCCTGGAAGCCTCTGATCTACTGTCCATATCTGGATATTTCACATAAATTAAATCATCCAATATGTGGCCTTTTGTGACCAGCTTCTTTCACGTAGCAGAGTATTTTAAAGGTCCGTCAATGTAGCATGTATCAGTACTTCATTCTTTTTATGGCCAAATAATATTCCAGTGTATGACTATACTACATTTTGTTTATTCTCACCAGTTGATGTACATTTGGGTTGTTTTCCATTTTTGGCTATTATGAATAATGCTGCTATGCACATTCTTGTACAGTTTTATGTGTAGACATATGTTTTCATTTTTCTTGGGGCCTAGATGTTGAATTGCTGGCTCATATGGTAACTATATGTTTAACATTTTGAGGAACTGCCAAACTTCTCCAAAGCTGCAGAACCAGCTTGCTCTCCTTTGATGTTTGCATGATATCTTTTTTCATTCCTTTACTACCTATATCATTATTCGTGAATCAAGTGTCCTCTAAACAGCATATAGTTGGGTCATTTTTTTTTTAAATCTACTCTGTGAATCTCTGTCTTTTAATTGCTGTATTTAGTCTATTTATCTTTAATGTAATTATTAATAAGTTAGTTCTTAAGTCTGCCATTATATTCTTTGTTCCTTTTGTTTTTCATTTTTTTTCTGTTTCCTTTGTCTTGTATTCCTGTAGATTACTTGCACATTTATTAGAATTTCATTCTGGTGAATGTTTGTATATTTTAATGGTTACTTTAGATAGTGCATTATATATATATAACTTATTACAGTCTATTAGTATTAATACTGTACCAATTCAAGTAGAGTCTAGAAACTACTTCCCTGTAAATCCCTTTCCCCTTGCCTGTTTATAATTATCTTAAATATCTCCTGAACGTATATTGAGAAGCACCTCAGAAAATTTAATAATTTTTACTTTAACCATCAAATATAAATGAGTATACTCAAGGATGGGAGGAAGGAAAGTCCAGTCTACTTACCCATACTTGGCTCTTTCCATTTTCTTTTTTTCCTGATGTTCTAAGATTTTTCTGTTGATAAGGTATTATTTTTCACTTACTGCTTTCAAGATTTTTTCTTTGTCTTTAGTTTGCAGCATTTTGATTATGATATGTCTTGTGTGGATTTCTTTGGGTTTATTTTATTTAAGGATTGCTCAAGTTCTTGAACTTATGGGTTTATGTCTTTTGTCAACCTTGGGAGTAGATTTATATACATATTATATATGTATTATCCACTTTCTTTCTGATCCATATATATGATTTATATACATATTATACATTATTATATATGCATATGGTTCAGAAAGGAAGTATATATATTTTTGCTGCTCTGACAAAAAAAACTGGTATAATTTTGATTCATTCACACCAGATGGCTATGGTTATATTGGTGGTTGTCATTGTTTTTATTTGACAATTTACGGGAAAAGAGGCTAGTATCCTGACTAAAATGTTTTAAAATTTCTTGGAGCACACTGGTTGAAAATCACTGATTTAAGGGGAGGAAAAAGAATATGTCTAACTTATGTATGTATGGAACTCTTTTCTGAATCTACCTATGGCATGTAAGTAACTTTACCAATCCAATGTCTCACATGAGTCTGCTGTATTTTCTACTAATGTGGCCTAAGTTGTCTCTTAATAGAGCTTTCATCCGAATCCTTTTCTTTAGACTTTTATTTATCATCTACCACATAGAGTTTTATTAATTGTTCACTATGTATTGATCCCTACTGGGTATGCTAAGGATATGGATATAATTTAAATATATTGTAAGGGTGGATGGACATGCATACACTTACCTGCAAATGACATTAACAAAAAAAACCCCTCCTAGATCATGGAAAATGAACAATTAATTTTTAGGGGAGGGAGGGAAAGAAGAACAGTACCTAATAAACGGCAAATTTGAATTACTCTTTAAAAGCATGATTTAATCAAATGGTTCTAAATATATATATTTATTAAATAAATGAATATAGAAGCAAGGAGGATATAAAGAACATATCTGACTGTACCCCAAACTCTAAGGAAGAACTTCACAGCTAAGTACAGTCCCAGGTGTTTTTAATTTGCTTAGATATATGGTGAATATTTTGCCTGAAACAAAAGTTGGAACAGGTGATGTGATGAGAGTAGGGAAAATCTTAAATTACTACTTTTCCAGAAAGTCTAGGATGTGTGTTTATATCATCCTTATTATACTTTGTTTATGGAAATGCAAAGTGACCTTATCTTTCCATATCTATCAACTGGTAACTACTAACAGGACAATGTACAAATATTGATGATGTAAAAGTAGCCTTTTTTGTAGGGTGAATAGTCCTAAAGAAAACAAAAGAATTCTACTTTTGAATGTTCTTATCCCCAACCGGGGACCTGGCCCACAGCCCAGGCATGGCATATACCCTGACTAAGAATCGAACCAATGACATTTCAGTTCACAGGCTGGCACTTAACCCACTAAGCCACATCAGCTAGAGCTGCCATGTATTTATTTTAACATGGAAAATGTAAGGTAAGGAAGATTAGTAAAGCAGAAAATGTTTATTCTGGTGTTTTTATTTTATTGAAGACATGCTCAAATGTTGGAAAAAATAAATATAAGAAATCCATGATTTTTTTGGAACGTAAGATGTATACTCTGAAAAAAATCAGTTGTTGTAAAAAGCATTGGATTTCTCTAACTAACCATGGGCATGACTCTTAATTGTCTTAACCCCAGTTTCGCCTATCAACTAATGGTAACAATATTAATCCCACAGGATTTAGGGGGATTAATTGAAATATGTGTAAAAGACCATGTAAGCTATTCCCCTGTACAATTGTAAGGTATTATTTGAGCTGAGCCAGCATAGCATAGTGGGCGGGAGTGCATTCTCTAGAGTCAGATGGCCTGGTTTTGAATCCTGACCTTACCATCAATCACTTCTGGTGTCTTAGGCAAACCACTGCACTTCTGAAAACCTTATTTTGTTTTTCAGTAAAATGGAGATAGTAATAGAATTTACATCACAGTGTTGGATTAAATAATGTGTGTGAAGCACAATGCCTGGCACAAAGTAATATTGTAGCAGTGATTAGCCTTTATAACAAAAATACTAATATCAAATATATCCTTCATCTCTTATTCTTATAAAGGAAATGGAACTGAGTGATCTAAAAAAAGTTGTAATGGAAGAAAGAGAATCTAATTAAAGCTTTTATCTAGTTTAATATCACCTATTTTAATATTAGTACTTAAAATGAACAGTGGCAAATTCATTAGGAAAGGGTCACAGTGATTTAACTAAATAAATATTTTAAACTTTTAAATGGCAAGCATAAACAAGATTAAGCACAAATTAGGAAAAAATAAAATGTATGATGTAAGTTGTAAAAATAATAAAAAAAGATAAACACTCATAACAGAAAAGTGGGCAAAGGGTAGTAACAGGGAGTTCACAAAAGAAATACAAATGATTAAAAGTATGAAAAACCATTCAGACTCGGTGGTCATCAAAGACATACAGACTGGTGAAGAAGAAAATATCTGATGTTGGTTCAGGGTTTGTGAAAGAGGACTGTAGACTCACGTGTTGTTGGAGAAAGTAAAAAATGGTATTTTGTTTCTGAAGGTCAGTTTGACAACATAAATTGTTTAGAATGTTCATTCTTTTTAATCCAGCAGATACACTTCCAGGAACTTATTCTAGATGGGGGAAATGCACAGCATCATTTATAATAGTAAAAAATTTTAAATGACCTAAATTTCTAATATTGGGCATGGATTAAATTGCCTGTGGTTATATCCATTTACTAGAATATTATTCACCTGCTGAAATGATGGTATAGCTTGTTCCTTTATTGTTCAACAAATACTTGCATGCGTAAGACCATTCACCCATTGAAAATGATGATGTAATTTATTCATGTCATCACCCAACAAATATTCAAAGACATACTCTGTGTTCTACGGTAGGCATACTTGCTGAATGATATGAAGACACTGCTCTTTACATTTCTGTTCTATATTTATTCACATAGAAAAATGTTTACAACATTTTACATAAAACATTTAAAGAGCACATACAGTGTAATTCCATTATGTATAACATTCATGTAATAAAATATCAATATTAAAATTATAGATTAAATCTATGCATTTCCCTAGTGAGAAATCTGGATGGATATTCATGAAAATGTTTGTAATGGTTTTTCTTGGATGCTAAAATTTAGGAGGTGATTCTTACATTCTAGCTCATGATTTCTCTTATTTATTTTTAATATTTATATATTATTATGAAAGCAAACTTATGCTCAAAACAGTAGATTATGTCACATTAGTGATATTGACTTGATGAAACCTTGGATTTGATGCTCACCACAAAATATTTTTCCATATCCTATTATTACTCCTTAACTGTAGGTTTACATTAATATAGCTTTACTCTTTTTTGGAATAATTTAATATAATTACAGGATGGAATCAAACAATATGCAAGTACTTCAGGAAATGGTGTCAAAACAGGTGCTTTAGTCAGCGACTCAGATTTAGGCTTGCAAGCATATGGCCGACAGGTAAGCAAGGAAGATGCACAGGTATCACTTCTATAGAGCACTGGGTAGCGGAATGCAATAGCTCAGTCATTTTACTGTAGTAGAGATGTGTTTGTTTGAAAACGAAGCTAAAATTACAATAAAGAAGACATGGGAAGGGAATTTCCTTGAGCTTTCAGAGAACATTCAAATTTCAGCAGATACTGGACAATATAATTGAGGAAAATAATTTCTTGATACATATGAAGATTTAAGAGGCAGAAGTTGAACTATCTCACTGAAAAAGAAAGAATAAGGCAGATATAGAACACAATAGAATATATATAGGGTGATATGTTTTGAGGTTAAGAGAGGAAAGAAGAATGGCAAATGCTTAGTCTCAATTTTTAAATTCTTTGAAGTGGTCATAAGATTGGCCAGTACATGACAGTGTTTGTGTTTATATTTACATTTATAACTTGTACATTAACATCACTTCCGTCAAGTTTCTTAAGTTTAATTTATATCCTTTTAAAATAATTGTATTGAAAGTAATTGCATCTTAAATAATACTAACTTGGGAATCAGTCTTTTTGGTATTTAGGAATGTCAAGAAAGTTCAGCTACCCAGCTAAAATTATTGATAGGCCATGAAACTTTTATTGAGAGAAGAGAGATATTCAATTTTTCGGAACCATACATTGAAAAAAAGGGTCCTAAAAGTGTATGATACCTAATGCTGACATTTCAAAGTACATTCATTAACAAATGACCAGTATTAAATTTTAGAAACATAGTGCAAAAATAAAGGGAGGAATGTGGAATTAGAGATACCAGGCTTCTAATTTTTACTTTGACATGTCAGTATTACCATGAAGCCTGAAAGAAATGATTTAATTTTCTTTGAGACTGTTTTCCTAACCGTTAAGAGGAGAAAGGGAGAAAGAAAGGGATGATGATGATGATGATATTGTCATATATCTAAGATTAAGAAACTGAATGCTTTTGGAAACCAAATGCATTATATAAATATAAATTATTATTATTATTATTGTTTTAATTATTGCTATTTAATTGCATTGAATTACTCTAGCACTTGGTAAAATAATAATATACTGCCATTTAAGAAGTGTGGAATGCTCTGTACATGCATTTGTTTCAGATAGATTTTACACATTGAAGAATTGTAATTAATCCGAATGCAAAACTAGCCCCCACAAAACACAAGGTGCTTGGCTTTTCCTAAGCACCTAAATCTGTAATCATATCAAATATATAAAGCCTTCCAAATAGGTGTCAAGAAATCTATAAAGCTTTTGAGAAATTGTTTCATCAAGAAATAGTAAATCATCATTCTCACATCCCCACCCACCTCCCAATCTGGGACAAGGAAATTTAAAATTTAGGTCAAAGCTACAAAAAAAAGTACCTTTAGTTTATCATAAATGTTCTTATTAAAATGGTTTAAGTTAGACTGATAACCATTTTTGGTGCCCAGTTAACAAGTTAAATTTACCCTGGCCAGGTATCTCGATTGGGTAGAGCATCACCCTGATATGCCAAAGTTGTGGGTTTGATCCCTGGTCCAGGAATGTACAAGACTCAATCAATGAATGCATAGATAAGTGGAACAACAAATCAATGTTTCTCTCTCTCTCAAATCAATTAAAGAAAGATTAAATTGTTAAGTTCCACTTGTGAAATTTTATATACCAGTAATTACAAATTTATGATCGATACACATTTTATCATATGTGTTATACTGCAATAAGATGTTCAAAAATAAACCTTCAGTTTATTTTCTAGAGCAAACATTTCTAAAATTTATTTTGAAAATTGTTTTTCTAGCCAACCTGGTGCTACTCAAAGTACATAGAAGCCTTAGAACAGGAAAGGATTCTTCTTAAAGTTCAAGAAGAACTGGAAAAGAAGTTGTTTGCAGGTAATTTTTGCTTTTTGCTTGCAGGTGGTTGTCTTCCATCACAGATTAATTTTAGAGGACTTTGCTGATGATTCCTTCACTGTTTTCCTTATTTCTCTTATTTTTGTGCAGGCATACCATCTTCTATAAATATTAAGCCCACTGTTTCAGCTATGTCTTTGAAAAAGAACTTATCTTCCCACAACATCCAGAGTGAGTTTCCAGTGATAATCTATCAGTTTACCTCGGTTCCTTCTCCCGTTTTGTTAGAGTTTGGCCCTTGCCCTGGCCGACCTGAGTGTAGGGGGCAGGAGGAGATGGGGACTGACCCCTTCCTAACTGATCTGACCCCTCGAGTTGGGAGAAATTCTAAGTGCGTGTGTGTCCCGCCTCTCACTGTTTTCTCTGCTGAGGAGGAGCAACATACACCTCACCCTTCGCCCCCTTCCCAGAGTGACAGCGCTCACGCGAATGTGTGCCCTGCTGCTGACCGGTGGAGAGTAACTCACAGGCTGCGGGCTGGCCGGCCCCATCCATGCCTGCCACACACTCATGGACTTCCGCAGCTGGACACATGTACATACAAAACTACATGCGCCTCAAACGTATGTACACACCCAATGCACAGCAAATTTACACACACCACATACACAAAAGCACACCAAACACACACACAGTCACACCCCCACTAACAAATGGATGGGTAGGAGCACTTTGCCTCTCTTCTGAATGGCACAGCCTGAAAAGCAAAACCTCTAGGAAGTGACCATTTATTGCTTCTGTTTACTCCTTATCTATTCCTACCTTCCGCAAAGAACATGTATGGGAGCTTAGGCTCTGGCTCCGTTTTTTAGGTTTTCCGAGCTGTTTTCCAAGTTCCATTTTCCAAGATAGGAATATAAGAAGGGAACTGAAGATAACGAACTGAAAATTAGGCCAGAGTCCTTCTGTCATACAGATATTGATGGGCTTATACAGTTTTGATTGGATACTAATGTTAGAGTTTAACAATACCCCTTTGAAGTAGTATGGTAGTATAACGAGTGTATGTGTCACCTGTTGAATCAAGACTTGAAGAGCCCAGTACAATTCCCCTTTCTCTTCTCTATTACAGCTTACCTTTTAATTCCTCACAATCCTCAGTTTTCCGATTCTTGGGATGGTTTCGTGGGGTCTTTATGTTCTGAGCCTGCTCATTTTTTGCGGGCTCTGGTTTCTCCTAGACGCCGCACCCCTCTCCCCACTTCCCGGCCCCTTAGACCTCCCTCACAGCGCCCTCCACGTTTAGAGGGCGTTCACACGGCTGTTACTTTTTTTCATCCTTACTACAAACCTCTGTGAGGTTTTTGGTTTGTTTTGGGTTCATATTTTCTATAACTACTTAAGTTTTCAACCATTTATTTTTCTTTTGCAGGAATTCTTTAAATCAAATTTAACGCATGGAAACTCGAGTGATTTTTCGATGGTCTGCATTAGAGCAAGCCTGCCTCTAAATAAAGTTTGACTTGTTTTATTCCCACAGTTTTAAAATTATAACTATTCTGCACATGTGACGTACAGACTATACAAGTTTTAAAAACTTATTTAGAATAAAACTATCTAGGTTAGAAAAAAATCAAAATGTTTTGCTTATCACTGAGCTTAAGGAAATACACTCCTCAGGTAATTTTTCCACAAATATTCCTTGAGCATCACTGAGATATATTTAGCGGGTTGTTAGGGAACTAATATTGCTAGCAATTAATTGGCTCAAAAGGAGCAGACATTTGTTTCGTCCCCAATGCATCTGGGATATTAAAACAGTGGTTCTCAAACTTTAGTGTGCATAAGACTCACTTGTGACATCTGCTAGTGATGCAGGTCCCTGGGCTCACTCCTTGAGAGTCTAATTCAGCAGTCGTTTGGTAGGACCCAGGAATTTCCCTCCGGAAGAGGCATCCTAGGTGATCCTGATTCTGATTCCAAGTCTGATTCAGGCATTCAGGTCACTCTTTGTGATAAACAGGGTAGCAAGGGAAGAGCCTTAGAAGGTAAAAGCCCTCTGGATGACAGAAGGTGAAGGGATTAGCCAGAGCGCACATGGGCACAACCCATAGACACAGGCAACAGTGTGGTGATGGCCTGAGGGAAGGGGTACGAGGGCTGGGTGGGGAAGGGCAAGGGGCGGGGGGAATGGGGACATCTGTGAGAGTGTCAACAATAAAAATAAGGTTAAGGAAAGGTAAAAGCCCTCTTATTAACCAAAGTTACACTTGTAGCAGAAAGAATTCAGTCATACGCTCTTTTTTTCAACCCTCACCTAAGATCATGCTTACTGATTTTTAGAGAGTGCGGAAGGGAATGAGAGAGGGAGAGAAACATCGATGCAAGAGAGAAACATTGATCAGTTGCCTCTTATCCACTCCCTGACTGGGACCAAATCCACGACCCAGTCATGTTCCCTGACTGGAGTCAAACCTGTGACCAACTGAACCACACTGGCCAGGGCCAGTCATGCACTCTTATGTCTCCTGGAGGGAAAGGGGAAAGTGTAAGAAATGAACTTCACTGTCCCTAGCCTTCAGGACTCGGCTCCAAGGACTGTGGCTTGGATCACAGGGTTAGAAGCATTAGACTTCCACTCCAACAGTCTCGGAGAGTAATTTCAAAGTAGAAACGGCCATTACTAATTCTCTAAAGAAAGACATTTTAAAGAGGGAAAGCATCAGCAGGCATACTCTGGAGATCTTTTTTTTCTCCCCCAAAACAATGGTTTTTGGACACTTTCTAAAAAAAGAACTCTGTAATTTCCAGTTTCCACAGTGCCCCAAAACACATAGCGCCCATGAAGTTTTTGTATGTTTTCCATTTGTTGCCCTCGTTCTTTGTTTCTTTTTTTGTATTCTACTCTCTTTCTGACCTTTTTGGATTTAATTGAGCTTTTTATGTGGTTTCCATTTTCTCTCCTCTCTCAGCATATCAATTATACTCCTTTTTAAAATTTTTTATTGGTTGCCTTAGAGTTTGCAATATACATTTTTTGAAGGCTGCATCTAGCAGATTGCTTGCCTGCAGTTTGTTTTGTTCTTTTTCAGGAGCTTTGTTCTGTTCTTTTATTTATGACATGTTTCTTCATCTCCTCATCTTGGCAGCCTCCCTGTGTTTGTTTCTGTGTATTAGATAGAGCTGCTACTTCTTCTGGGCTTGGTAGAGTGGCATAATGTCGTAGGTGTCCGGTACGGTCCAGTGGCACAGCCTCCTCATTCACCAGAGCCAGGCACTCCAGGCGAGCTTCCTGTCCCCCGTGGGCTGTATACACCACCTTATGGCAGTTGAGTCTTGACTGCCAATGGCATGTCAATGGGAGGGATTTACCGCCAGGCCAAGAGGCCATAGAAACACTGACCACCATGGACAATCAGCTGTGCCGGGGCCCACCCTACAAAACAGGACCTACTTCATCAGGGCCCTGGTGCCTGCTGAGCCTGCCCCTTGAGTGTGTTACATGTAGAGGTGGCTGTGTGGTGCTTTGACACGGTCTGGAGCTGTCCACCAGGTGGCTTGGCTCTGGGGCTTCCCACGAGGTAGAGGCCAAGGTCAGCCACTGCCTGTGTTCTGCCTGGGGCCACCTGGAATGAGCTACAGAGAGAACCGCAGACGGCGGCTACTTGTGCTGGGCTTGGAGGGGCCCAGGAGAGGCCAAGCTGTGAACCAAGGCCGGCTGCTGCTAGTGCCGGGCCTGGGGCCGCTTAGCAGGAGGTACAGGGCACCTGCATGCTGAGGCCAGATGCTGCTTGTTTGAGAGATTTTAGTCTGAAACATGAGCCAAGATGGGCAATTCCTACGGGTAGGCCACCGGAAACAGTTTGAGTGGGAATGCAAGTTGGGTGGGGCAGGGTCTCAGGTAGTCACCAGAGCAGGGAGGAGAATAATAGCCAAGTTGATGGAGACTCAGATATGGTGCCTGCCTGTGCCTACAGGGGGAGGGCTCAGCAAAGGAGCAATGTCCTCTGACAGCATTTCTGTCTAGGAGAAAGCTGTTTCTCCAGCTCCCACCCAGAAGTTCCTCCCATATGTCCCTGGAGCCTTTGGAGCTGCCTCCCCAGCACTGAAACTCAGAAGGAGTGTGTCCCCCTAAGTCTGTTCACAGGCCCCTAATGAGGAAGACCTGGGGACTCTGAAGCCTCTTGTCTCACCCACCCACAATCCCTGCAGGTTTTTATAGCCAGAAGTTATGGGGACCTCCATTCCTGGCACTGGACACTGGGCTGGGTGCCCCATATGGGACCGGGACCCCGTGCTCCTTAGGGCAGACCTCTGCTGAGGAGATGTCCCTCCTGATTTTCATCTGCCACGCATGGGTGTAGGACCAGCCTGTTCTGCCCCTCTTCCCCTTCTACCAGTCTCAGTGTGGCCTGTTCATATTCTTAGCTGTAGGACTTATGTTAGGCTAGAATTTCAGGCAGTTCTGAATGGTGGTTTTTTTGCAGTTTCATTGTAATTTTGATGTGGTTGTGGGAGGCGGTGAGCACATTTACCTACTGTGCCATCTTGGCTGGAAGCTTAAAATTACCATAGTTTCTTCATCACTCTGTGATAACACTAATCACATTGATTGTAATTTTTGTTCACATGCCTCTTTCACTAGTAAAGCTGTTATTTGAATTTTCATTTCAGTGCCTTACGTATTATAGAACACCTAGAAAGTAAAAGGTCATTAAATATTTATTTGAAAAAATGAAAGAAAATGTCTCCACTGTAAAATCACAGGAAGGTAAAAATCGCTGCTCATCTAAGAAAGTTCAGCATAATGCTTTTCTCGAAAATTTGCCATTAGTAGTTCTATAATTATAAATAAGTAGTAATGTAGCAATTTTGCTTGAAGTGTATGTTCTCTGTTCTGTCTACATTGTTTTTTATATTTATGAATACAACTACGTATCATCTTGTCTTTGGGAAAACTAATTCTTATTAAACCACATTAAATCACTTTAGGCCTGGGTTTCTCAACCCCAGTGCTATTGACATTTTGGGCAGGTTAATTCTTTGCTATGGAAGGGCTATGGAAGGTTCTTTGTCATGTAGGATGTTAAACAGTGTCCCTGGCCCCTACCCACTGTATGCTGGTCACACCTCCCCAGTTGTGATGGCCCAAAATACCTCCAGATGTTGCCAAATCAACCCCAGCTGAAAACTAGAGTTGGACTTTGGACTTTGGAACATTTTTATGTTTTGGTTTTTGAAACCTCTAATTATGGTGGAACCTTTAAATCCTAGCTTCCTAGCAAATTATTATATTAAAAACCTGTATCGCACCTGCTATCTCCATTACTTCACCGACAGTGCCTTCTAACTGATAATGACTTGTTTTTGTATCTATATTATACCCACTTGAGTAATTTCTCTTCCTTTACATCATCCTGGAAATATAATGCCTAAAGGAGAGGCTCAGGCAATATTTGTTGAATTGATAAAACTTAAATTCCTTACTTACCTTTAAGGTAACATATACTATATTTTAGGTAATCTCTAAAGTACTCTTAAATCTGACAGGTTTGTACAAATAAATACTAAGTGTGCTATATATTTGCCTCTGATGTACTTCTTGATTTTGTGAGTTCTCACAAAGAAAAGACAACTTACTTTTGGAGGAGTTCTAGGTTTTAAAAACACACAAGTTGCTAGGCATACTATATCAGCTTATACCCTTCAAAGCATGAGAAAATTGAGCTCATACTCTGTTTATATTATTGTTCAGGGTGAATAAATGTATTTTGAAATAAGTGAAATGGTAAAGTAACCCAAAAATAATTTGGCCAGTTGCATCAGCTTGTCTATATTATTTTTAATAAACAAATTTAGTATTAAAGATAAAACCTAATTCATGTTATATTTTTTAAATACGTATCTTTATCATTTGTCATATAATCTTCAATTAGTACAGAATTTGTGAATAATTGTTTTCTTTTTCCCTGCTTGGCATACTCTTTAAAATTACAGTGACCTTTCTGCTTCAAAAAATATCTCAGTTGATGTGTATTCAATGTCAGTAAAATTGACTTCTAATCTTGAATCTGTTACTTCCTTTCTGATTTGGGCCATTTATTTTACCTCTGAGTCTCAGTTTACTTATGTGTAAAGAACAGAGGGCCCTTTTTATCTTAGCTCTAATATTATGTGATTCTATGAGTTTGTAATATTGGAGCTTTTAAATGTGTAACTGTAGAGTTTTGGTGTGTACCTCATTGAACAATTATTTCTATATTTTGAATTAGAACTTTATATCAAAATATAAAAAGAAAAATTCTATTTCTATACTGTTTCCTTTTCTATAATCAAGTACTTGGTTATAGGCCTGGCCTGAAATAGTTACTATTTTAGAAAAAATTTTATTGTAATTATTATAAAACTAATATATGTACTTAGTAAAAAAATTCAATGATACATGATGAATTGGTTGGTAATCTCCCTCCTTACCTTCATCATGATATAGACTGCTGTTTCCCAACAGAGATCCAACCCTCACTTGTTTTAGTAACGGAATTGCCAAGTTTGAGCTGTGCCCAAGACTACCTACCTGGAGTTAATTGCCATTTCCCAGCATGCCTCACAAATAGATATGCCATGTGACCAATGTCAGGCCAAGGAGATGTGAGCAACGTTACATTCGTTTCAGGTGTCCAGTATAGCGGTTAGACATTTATATAACTCATGATAAGTGTAGTTTCCACCTGGTGCCACACATATTTATTACAATTATTATAGGCTATATTCCTTATGCTGTACTTACGCTCCTGTGACTATTTCGTAACTGCCAATTTGTACTTCGCTAATCCCCTTTTCTCTCAGCCCCATAATCCCTCTCTGATCTGGCGACCATTAGTTTGTTCTATGTGTCTATGAGTTTGTTTCTGTTTTTATTGTTCATTTATTTTGTTTTTTAGATTCCACGGATAAGTGAAATCATGTGATACTAGTCTGTTTCTGATTTATTTCACTTAGTATAATACCCTCTATGTCCATCCATGTTGTTGCAAATGGTAAGATTTCATTCTGTTTTATGGCTGAGTAATATTTCATTATATGAGGGGGGACCCCAAAAACATGAAATTTATTTATAAAAATTGTGTATTCGTTCTTACACGTTTAAACTTCAGTCACCCTCAGAGTCCTCTCCATTTGATGCAATACACCTATCAAGGCTCTTTTCCACTGCCCAGAACAGTTTTTTAACTTCTCTGTTTTGAAGCCTTTCAGTGCTTCTGCCATATCTTTTTTCATCCCTTCCACATCGGCAAAACATTTCTTTTTGAGGACGTTTTTCATTTGGGGAAACAAAAAATAGTTGCTCAGAGTGAAATGAGGTGAATAGGGAAGGTTTAGCACTGGGGTGAGGCCATTTTGGTCAAAAACTGCTGAACACTCAGCGAGGTGTGGGGAGGTGCACTTGTAAATCACCCACCATGAAATGGGCAAATGCGTTGAAAGTATCTTAAAAAAAAATTCACTGAAGCCAAATGCAGCCTCTCACATCACCAGCTGGAACACTGATACAGATGGGTTCTTAGAACGCTCACCTGGCGGGGAAAGCCTGTACTACAAGGGGCCTTCCCGCCAGAAGATAATTCTGGGTTTTTTGGGTCCCCTCTTGTATGTATGTACCACATCTTCAATCATCTACCAATGGACACCTAGGTTACTTCCATATCTTGGCTATTATATATGAAATATCCTTCTCTGTCCCTTGTTATTGCCTTTGTTTAAAAGTCTATTTTGTCTGATGTTAAGTATTGCTACCCCAGATTTTCTTTGTTTTTATTTGCACAAAATGTATTATTTTCACCATTTCCAGTCTGTCTTTAGATCTGAAGTGAGTTTCTTATCGGCAGCATATGTGTGGGTCTTGTTTTCTTCTCCATTCAGGCACTCTATGCCTTTTGATTGGAGCATTTAATCTATTTACATTTAAAGTAATTATTGATAGGTATGTAGTTATTACCATTTTATTATTCATATTTTTTTACCTTTTTTCTTCTTAAAGAAGTCCCTTTAACTTTGCTTGTATTATTGGTTTGGGGTGACATTGGTTAATAAAATTATATAGGTTTCAAGCATAAATTTCTATGATATATGACCTGTATATTGTATTATGTGCACACCACCCAAAGTCAAATCATCTTCATCACCATATATTTGGTCCCTTTACCCTTTACTACACCCTACTCCCCTTCCCTCTGGTAATCCACCATGCTGTTTGTGTCCATGACTTTTTGTTTGTTTTTTTCTTATTTGTTTTCTTACTTTCAACCTTATATACTACATAGGAGTGAAATCTT